CTGCGAGTGCATTGTACATGCCTACGGTCAGGCGGGGAGAGCCTTCCCCACGGGGGTCCGTGCACACTCTACACAGGGTATGGCTGTGTCAACAGCCTTATTTAATGGCGTGAGTGTGGAGGATATATGCACGGCGGCGTATTGGTCCACGCCAGGCCCCTTCATACAGTTTTATCTCTTGGACATGTCTGTCTCCTTCTCATCGTCTTTGCTTGCTGGGGCAACACAGGACTGGTGAAGGAGAGGTTGCGGTGCAGTGGCTGTTAACCAAAAAAAGCCAGTCAGGGGCAGTGTGATGGGTTGTTGGACGACAGGGCGTGTATCCATCAGGGCTCCACCCACTGTACCCAAAGAGTCCAGTAGAGGGCGGAGCCTATGAGAGATATAACGATGGGTTACGTATTGTAACCCTAGTTATATAAGCACAGGCGGAGCCCTCTACTAGGGGCCCTGTCTGTCCTATGCTGCTCGCTGAAGAGAGGTGTAGGATGACGGTCGGGAGGCGAGGCCGCCTTATATACTGTGGGCCTGCGCGTGCACTCAGGTAGGCCCGCCCCGGGGCCAGCTACGTTTATAGATTTCTCAGTAGATGAACGCTCGCACAGTGAGGTCAAGGGCAGTACCCATAGAGTCCAGTAGAGGGCTCCGCCTGTGCTTATATAACTAGGGTTACAATACGTAACCCATAGTTTCTTCCCCCTTTTCTTTCTTTTCTCTTTTCCTCATATCTGTACGGCCTCTAGGCTTGTTTTGTTTTGTGTGCCCTGGGCATGCTCCAGTACTGTACTTAAGTAAAAATGTTGAGGTACTTGTGCTTTACTTGAGTATTTCCATGTTATGCTACTTTGTACTTCTACTCCACTACAAGTCAGAGGTAAATCGTACTTTTACTCCACTACATGTATTTTAACCTTTAGTTACTTTACAGATGTGGATGAATGATTTGAAATATAATCAAGTGTTAAATCAGACTTTAGTTCCACCTGGAGTAAATCCACCAGCTACCCTGCAGTATACAAAGTACTTCAAACTAGCTGCACCTTTACCAGCTTTGAGAACACTTTCATGATCAATCATTATAAAACATATCATATATATTATTCTGAAATGGACCAATCTGCACAATGACTACTTTTACTGTCGCTTTCACTATATTTTGATGATCATACTTTTCTACTTTTACTTGAGTAACATTTTGAATGCAGGACTTTTACTGTAACAGAGTATTCCTACACTCTGGTACTTCTACTTTTACTTAATGACAAGATCTGAGTACTTCTCCCACCTCTGAGCGGCGGCACTAATATAGGCCACAAAATAAAAAAACACCTTTGAGAAAAAAGGAAAGCCAGAGTGGAGAGCTGGGCAAAGGTGAACCTTTTGAAGAGAAACGTCATTTTAAAAGGAAACGCTACAGAGAGACATTTCTGTTCATCATACGTGTGTTCTGTCAACCCCAGGTGCTATTGTAGATTTTTTTAATAATTTCAGTTTAAATTGTGAAGTTGCACATTTTGCTGTTGACCCCGTCAGTACAAGTACAAAAGCATGTTACTATATTAGCTTGAATCACTTATATTATTTATATTATTCTTGTTTTTAATAACAGAAAACTGTCCATGTAAATATCTCATTGTTAATTAAAATTATCTGTTTTCCCCTACTGTCCACATCTTCTTAGACACCTGTGATTCTGTATACGTTGCCTCTTTGAAACTGACAAAGCAAACAGACTCCTACCTGGCTGCCTTCAAACCAATCATCTTTGACAGAATGTTACAGTTTTCACTCAGTCACCACTAAAGCAAGTATCAGATGGACTCAGTGATGTAGAGCTGGGGATCAGAGTGCAGCACTTAGCAGCTACATTTGGCAAGCTGTTGGAAGGTAATTATTTAAACATGTTTGTTAAAAGTAAGATTTTCAAGTGATTGTTTTAAGTCACTTTTTAAGTGAAAATGCATCTCTGGTTCCAGCTCCTGAGACATGAGGACGGCTGCCCGTCTGTGTTTGATATCATTGTTAGTTGCATATCTCTTGGTTGTTACCTTTGTGGGGATTGTAATCCCAATGTTTCACTGTGTTCTAACGTGCTGATATATTACAGTTTAAAATTCCACATTAAAATGATCCAGACTTATTAGGCTCTTTTCACAGCAGCCACGCAGAGCACACGCAGGAGTAATTCATAACATTAATTATGGTCTGGTATTGTGCATGCTGGCTTACTGGAATGCCTTTGATGCACAAAATAGAATGAGACCATAATTAATTTGATCAATTACACCTGTGTTTACCCTGCAATGTCAGCTGGTTGCTGTGAAAAGGGCCAATAAGAGGCATGAGTTTAGATCTTAAGGCTCTGTAAACATGACATGTATTTATTTCACTCCGCATCCTGTTATGTATCCGATTGATCTGCTCTCAAGTATTTTATCAACTCTCATTTAATCATTAAATATTAAGGTGTCTTGCAATTGATCATGAATACATGAACTAAACAATGATTTTGCATGCTTTTGAACATTCAAACAGCCCATAATCCTGTTGTGGAAGTATTCCTGTGTTTAACTGTCCTGTACTGCCATCTTGTGGATAACCACAACACTGCAACCAGACATGATAACAGATCGGTCACTCAGGCCTTAACCTAAAGATCCCTTTCCTTGGATCCCAAACTTACTCCAAGTATGTATTTATTATATTTGAGTGACCTGATGCACTTTGATGCTGCAATGCATTGAATGATTAAATGTCTCATGTCACCACTGACATATGACAAGTGTTGACAGAGGTGCTACCTACTGTGCACCATTCTGCCATTCATTTGTTATGTTTCTTATATGGAAGGGACATGTAGGGGTTCATGATTTGATATTTTTGAACAAATACACCTACATTACTAAGACTGGACTGTGAAGCTGAAGAAAGGGAAACAATTGGACAGTATGCTGATGTCTAAAGCACAAAATTACCTCAGGCTTTTGTTTCAATATAAAAAAAAAAAGATATACAAATCTCAGCAGTCTCACTTAAGTGTATCTTTAATTCAAATGTCTAATTTGTGAACACAGGTGTGTAAAAAATGTTGTGTGTGTGTGTGTGTGTGTGTGTGTGTGTGTGTGTGTGTGTGTGTGTGTGTGTGTGTGTGTGTGTGTGTGTGTGTGTGTGTGTGTGTGTGTGTGTGTGCTACAACGGCCCAAACACTTCCATTAGGAGCAAAAATGAAATAAAGTAAATATAAAAACACAAGTGTGCCAAAACACGTGAAAATTAAGAAACAACTTCAACAACTTGACAACACGTGTGCAGAATTTAGAAAAAAAAAATTCACCAACTCAAGTAAAACATGCGCAGCGTTTACTAAAAGCGCTGCATACAATACGTCAACAGTGACGCAAACAGCTGGGACAGTTTGGTGACGTTTAGGATTATAAAACTGGACAACTGTCTCTGTTGCAGAGTTAGTCTGTCTCATAATAACTGTAAGTGTTTCATCAGTATATTTGAAATGAATAAGTTAGTTAGCTAGCCAGCAGATCCGCTATATTATTGGAAGGAATCATGTGATCATATTGTTCAAATGAGCCGATAAAACATTCTAGGTAGGCTACGTTTCCAACAACAGAGACAGTTGTCCAGATTTATAATCCTGAACGTCACCAAGCGCTCCGGTCCCAACTGTGTGCGTCACTTTTTAGTGTCCCCTGGTCTCCCAGCTGTGTGCGTCACTGTTTAGTGTCCCCTGGTCTCCCAGCTGTGTGCGTCACTGTTTAGTGTCCCCTGGTCTCCCAGCTGTGTGCGTCACTGTTTAGTGTCCCCTGGTCTCCAGCTGTGTTTTGAGCTTCTTGCAGCGCTTTGTATTCGCAGCGTTTGATGTATGCAGCACTTTTAATAAATGCTGAGCATGGTTGTTGCATGTGTTTTGGTTCATTTGTGTTGTTTTATTGTCCTCGTGTTTGCATCTGCAGTGCGTTTCTCCTCATGGAAGTGTTGTAACATGTTTGCTCCAGTTGGCCAAGGTACTCTTTAGAGATTGTGTATGTAAACTGTATGATACTCTTCAGTAACGTAACAAAACAATACAACTTCAATTGACAGAGTATGAGTCTTTATTTTATTTACTAAGAGAGGACTGGAGAGAAGTTGGGACACTGTCCTTTAATGAATATTTACTTTAAGGCAGAAGCGAAGTATCTCCTCTGAGAGCCGAACATGCAGCAGTCTTTCTTTACACTGTTTATCTAAAGTACTACAGCAGCTTTACATTAACGTTTTAATTATGGTTAGTAGGTTAAATGCGTGTTTTACTGAGATACTGAATGACTATATATTCTGCTTCAGGAGACTCAGTAAACCTTCTACCCGAGCTCAGGAGTACTGGTTTATTTTTCATGGCTCAATGCAAATGTGTTAATATTTTCAGTAATTGACAGCACTGAAAGACTATGCAACAGGTTATATATCTGATCTGAATCCAGAGCTAAGAAGATAGTGACTGTTGCCGTTAAGACGGGCAGAAAGACAGCTCCATTGAATGCTGTCAGTGCTCTACCTCTGCTGGAAATGTATACTAACTGTTTTCTAACATATGTTGCATTTATGTTCCCATGCCTCCAGGGCCTACAGTCCATGATGGGTGGAAGTAGCTAGGCCGTTCAGGTCAGTTAATTTGCTTCCTTGGCCCTAGTCTGCAATAATTACGGTCCCATTAAATTCCTCGATTGGTTGCCATTTTAAACTCCATGTTAGGACTTTAGGACATATGATTACAGCTAATGAAGTAAAGTTAAGATAAGTCTTCAATGCCTTTCAGGTGTTGGGTAATGTAGGCCTGATGTAGAATGACTAGAGCACCACAATGAAAAACCATCAATCACTAAGTCCTCGCACAGTGCATTGGGACAATTCCCTGCTTGGGCAGTAGGTGGCGGTAATGTTGCAATAAAGGCAGTTACTCGTTACCGGAAAAAGAAGAAGAAGAAAAAGAACCATAGCAACGCTTAAACAAAGATGGCGGTGTCAGCCGCTGTGTTCTGTTTATTGTTCTTGTTTAATGCCGCCACTACAAACGAAAATACAACGAGCTACAATTTGAACACCACGCTTGGTGACCAGAACGTCACATTTAACTTTATGGAAAATGATACAACTCCACAGCCGACAGAGTTTGAGTCAACCAGTCCGACACCGAGCTCCACCAGCACCGAGCCCCCTCAGCCCGCCGAGCCGCTGCCCGCCTCCGGCCGCCTGCCCACCACCGTCACTACCGGTACTCTGCCTGGAACTAGACCCTAGCTAGTAGCTAGCCAGTTTAGCGCTACACTATGCTAACTGACCTATTGTGCCAGTTAACTGTTTCCTATTAAACAGAGGTGAGAGTAGTACTCAGAACTTGTACTTGAGTAAAAGTAGAACTACTCAGATCTTGTACTTGAGTAAAGTACCAACCAGAGTGTAGGAATTACAAGTTAAAGTCCTGCATTCAAAACGTTACTTAAGTATAAGTAGAAAAGTATTAGCTAAAGTACAGTCATTGAGTAAAGGTACTTAGTTACCTTACACCACTGCTATTAAAGCATGATCGACAACAATGGTTAAATCATCATTTATTTCAGGCTAATAAAATAAACTCTAAACTGAGATGTAATGAAAGCGTGGTGTTAGAATCTCTGCTGGAGATTGGATGTCTTAAACACCACAAATGCAAGTTATTTTGTTAGTAGCCTAAAGTATTTCAGATTTCTGACTGAACCAATAGAAAGCACACACACACACACACATCCGTGCATACACACTGTACAAGTAAAGCACACGCACTAAAAATGTATTCATATTTAAACAGATGTTTTTAAAGGCCAAATGCTTGTGAAAGTAGTTGTGTACATACACACGCACACCATGTCATAGATGTATGTGACATACCTTGCATAGCTTTGTAAAATGCATATTTCACATAATGGCCTCGTAATGTGAATACCACACTCAGGTCACATCTCAGGTCACATCTCCAACTTCAAGAAACAAAAATATACAGTTCCATATGAATGTCTCAGTTACTAACCTTGTTAACTAAGCAAATATCTGTAACTAACCTAACCTCTGTAACTAGGATGGAGTCATAGCTGCGGTGCTAAGGCACGCGGGCCCAGCATAATGTGAGCGCGGAGCGCGTGGAATCTTTTAGTGTGTGCATGTGCGAAGTGCGCCCCGCCAATTTGTTTCTATGTGTCTGCCAGCACAAGAAAGGCTCTTGAGGCCTAGTACCAGGGTCGGTTCTAGCCAATTTGCTGCCCTAGGCGAGATTTTATAAAGAATAAATTAAAAATCTCTACTTCTTCTTCTTTCGTGTAACGTCAGAGGTCCAACTCGGTGTTGTGTAGCCATGCCCGCATCTCTGGTCCTACGTCGAAGAGGCTGGCTTCCGAGAGTGGTCTATATAAAGGGCAGGTGGTTATTATATGTTCGGCAGTCTGTTCAGGGTCAACGCACTCGCATGCAGCACTGTCTGCCAGGCCCCACTTCTTCATTGATGTTTTGAAGCGACCGACCCCAGTTCGTAGACGGTTTAGTGTGGTCCATTGCCGGCGTGGTAGATCGTTTCCTCCAATGGCGCCATCTCCTGGGTCCCAGATGTAGCGATGGATGCGGGAGGGCCCGGCTAGCTCCCACTCCTGCCTCCAAGCAGCCGCCAACCATGCATCTCTGGCGAGGTCCTCAGAGGTGGAATTGAGCATCTCTTGTGCTGCCTTGTTCTAGGGGAGACGGGACATGAACCTACTTAGGGGCGCTGCTGTTGTTGTAGTGTTATGCAGGATGTGCCAGTCATGCTTTTGAGCTTTCCTGGCCAGGGCGAGGGTGGCAGCCTCCCGTCGGAGGCTGGCCGGAGCTATTCCCGCGAGGACTGGCAAGAGGGACACAGGGGTAGGCTTCAGGTATCCAGTTATAATCCGGAGGGCGTTGTTGATGACCACGTCAACCTTACTTGCATGAGGGCTTCTGCTCCAGGCTGGGGCGCAGTATTCCGCTACAGAGAAGACCAGGGCTTGGGTTGATAATCGCAGCGTCTTAGCGCAGGCTCCCCAGGTTGTTCCAGCGAGGCGGCGGATCAGCGCGACCCTTGATGTTACCTTGGCCTTGACTTCTTCAAGGTGTTGTTTAAAGGACAGTGTCCAATCCAGACGCACGCCGAGGTACTTCGGGGCTTGCTGGACCTCCAGGCGTTTATTGTTGACACGCACCTCAAGTTCCCTCCTAGCTTCTCTGGTGCTAAGATGGTATGCCGCTGCTACTGTCTTTCCGATGTTGAGCTGTAGACGCCACCTTTGAAAGTATGTTACCAGGGTGCCCATGTCGTCGTTAAGGCCATCTTCCATTGCCTTCCATGTTGGTCATCTCAGCATGATGGCTAGATCGTCTGCATAGTCGTACTTTCTGGATGATGTGTCAGGTAGGTCGTGTACATATATGTTGAACAGCATTGGCGAGAGAACCAACCCCTGCGGAACACCGTTCCTCAGTCTTCTGAGCCTGGTCTGGTCTGGAGGACAAAGCTGCGGTTGGTAAGCGTCTCCATGATGAACTTAACCATATGCCGGTCTGGCATTGTCCTCAACAGCTTCAGGTGGAGTCCACGGTGCCAGACAGTGTCATATGCGGCAGTCAGATCCAGGTACACTACCCCAGCTTTCTCATTGTCCTGGAAGCTGTCTTTGATGTCCTGAGAGAGTAGTGTTACCTGGTGTACTGTTGACCTTCCACGACGAAAACCAGCTTGTTCCCGTGGAAGCTGTGAGTCCACCACTGGCTCGATGCGGCTATGGATCATCCTCTCCAAAATCTTGAATGGGACACAGAGTAGCGAGATGGGTCTGTATGACTTGGGGTCTTCCGCAGGTTTATTTGGCTTCGGCAGAGCTATGACGGAGGCGCGGCGCCAGGTCTTTGGGAGCTTTGACCTCCGGTAACACGACGAGAAGAATGCACAGAGCCAGTGAGATGTTGTCCCTCTCGCTCTCTCGCTCCCACGCTCGCACTTTGGCTGTGAGCTGCGGGCGCCTGATAAGCCAACACCACCCACTTTCATCACTTACAGCGCCCATCGTACAGGGCAAATGAAAAATATAACCGGGGTGAAAAGGGTGTTACATTTACTTAATTATGAATGTTAGGATGAGCGCCAACGGTCAAAAATGTTTTTTCCCCTCCCAGAGCTACCAGCGCAGCGCCCCCCAGATCTGCCGCCCTAGCCGACCGCCTATGCCAAAAATGCCAAGTTATTTTTTGGGTACCTGGTTGGCGCCCCCTAGCATTTGTATACAAGGGAAACACTGAACTAACCTAACGACTGTAACAAGCTAACCTCTGTAACTAACCAAATCTCTGTAACTAACGTAACCTCTGTAACTAACCTAACCTCTGTAACTAACCTAACCTCTGTAACTAACCTAACCTCTGTAACTAACCTAACCTCTGTAACTAACCTAAGCACTGTAACTAACCTAACCTCGGTAACTAACCTAAGCACTGTAACTAACCTAAGCACTGTAACTAACCTAAGCACTGTAACTAACCTAAGCACTGTAACTAACCTAAGCACCGTAACTAACCTAAGTACTGTAACTAACCTAACCTCGGTAACTAACCTAACCTCGGTAACTAACCTAACCTCGGTAACTAACCTAAGCACTGTAACTAACCTAAGCACTGTAACTAACCTAACCTCGGTAACTAACCTAAGCACTGTAACTAACCTAAGCACTGTAACTAACCTAAGCACTGTAACTAACCTAACCTCTGTAACTAACCTAACCTCTGTAACTAACCTAAGCACTGTAACTAACCTAACCTTGGTAACTAACCTAAGCACTGTAACTAACCTAACCTCTGTAACTAACCTAACCTCTGTAACTAACCTAAGCACTGTAACTAACCTAACCTCGGTAACTAACCTAAGCACTGTAACTAACCTAAGCACTGTAACTAACCTAAGCACTGTAACTAACCTAAGCACCGTAACTAACCTAAGTACTGTAACTAACCTAACCTCGGTAACTAACCTAACCTCGGTAACTAACCTAACCTCGGTAACTAACCTAAGCACTGTAACTAACCTAAGCACTGTAACTAACCTAACCTCGGTAACTAACCTAAGCACTGTAACTAACCTAAGCACTGTAACTAACCTAAGCACTGTAACTAACCTAAGCACCGTAACTAACCTAAGTACTGTAACTAACCTAACCTCGGTAACTAACCTAACCTCGGTAACTAACCTAACCTCGGTAACTAACCTAAGCACTGTAACTAACCTAAGCACTGTAACTAACCTAACCTCGGTAACTAACCTAAGCACTGTAACTAACCTAAGCACTGTAACTAACCTAACCTCTGTAACTAACCTAAGCACTGTAACTAACCTAAGCACCGTAACTAACCTAAGCACTGTAACTAACCTAAGCACTGTAACTAACCTAACCTCTGTAACTAACCTAAGCACTGTAACTAACCTAAGCACCGTAACTAACCTAACCTCTGTAACTAACCTAAGCACTGTAACTAACCTAAGCACCGTAACTAACCTAAGCACTGTAACTAACCTAAGCACTGTAACTAACCTAAGCACTGTAACTAACCTAAGCACCGTAACTAACCTAAGTACTGTAACTAACCTAACCTCGGTAACTAACCTAACCTCGGTAACTAACCTAACCTCGGTAACTAACCTAAGCACTGTAACTAACCTAAGCACTGTAACTAACCTAACCTCGGTAACTAACCTAAGCACTGTAACTAACCTAAGCACTGTAACTAACCTAACCTCTGTAACTAACCTAAGCACTGTAACTAACCTAAGCACCGTAACTAACCTAAGCACTGTAACTAACCTAAGCACTGTAACTAACCTAACCTCTGTAACTAACCTAAGCACTGTAACTAACCTAAGCACCGTAACTAACCTAACCTCTGTAACTAACCTAAGCACTGTAACTAACCTAAGCACCGTAACTAACCTAAGCACTGTAACTAACCTAAGCAGCGTAACTAACCTAAGCACTGTAACTAACCTAAGCACTGTAACTAACCTAACCTCGGTAACTAACCTAAGCACTGTAACTAACCTAAGCACCGTAACTAACCTAACCTCTGTAACTAACCTAAGCACTGTAACTAACCTAAGCACTGTAACTAACCTAACCTCTGTAACTAACCTAACCTCTGTAACTAACCTAAGCACTGCTTTGTGTTTCAGTGGACAGTGTGTGTCCCTGTGACCTGCACGAGAGTGTGTGTGACATCAACTGCTGCTGTGACCGAGTGTGTGCTGAGGAGCTGTCTCTGTTCACCAGCTGCTCCGTGGACAGAGTCAGGTGAGCCCCCCCCCCCCCCCACACACTCACACACACACACACACACACACACACACACACACCACACACACACACACACACACACACACACACACACACACTGCTTACTACACTATTCAATTCAAATGACTTTCAGAGAGGAATGTGTGCAGTGGGTTAATGAAACAGTTTTAGAATGTACAGTTCATGTATAGTCTACTACTCAGAGCATCAGGCAGTCTATAGATATCATCAGCATTAATATGAAATAAATACAATGCATCGCTGCATATATTGTATTACACGTGTTTTGTGTTTATAAATATTTGTATTGTATTTTATTTGATCTTTTATTGCAAATTATTTCTTTTAATTCTTACTCTTTCTTTAACGTCATATATTCATTGTGCTAAGTTATTTTTTCGTTTCTTTTGGTTTACTTGTAATTTGACTGTTAATTTGATTTCCTATCGACAGATCTGTTGTCCTTGTATTTCTAATATGTATCATTCATTTGAGCTGACTTTGTGTTGGTGTGTATAGTGGCAGTCAGCAGCTGTGCAGCGGGGACGTGGCGTCTTACTCTCTCCGCATCACCATAGACGGATACTCAGAGCTGCAGGCGTCTGTGGGGGAGGAGCCTAACTATGACATCCTCTGCATCCAATCACAGAACCGTGCGTCATTAACTGTGTTCGAGTATTGTATGAACATGTTTTATATCACTTATTACTTAAGTCTTACCAATATTAGTCAATAAGTAGATTTAAATGAACCTTATTGCTAAATGTAAAGGACTGGGCTGGTGTTATTGGACTTGCTTTCTCTGAGTCTATTATAAGATAAGATAAGAGGGACCTTTATTGATGAGGGAAATTCAGGTGTTATAGCAGCAAGAGAGTCAAAAGTAAAAAAAAGAATATCATAAGAATAAATATGAAGCAACGGTATGAATAAAAATAACAAAAATAGCATGCATTAAACTCTGATCAGGTGAATGTACAGTACATGTATACAGATATGTGAACGAGGGTAAATATATATACATTTACATCTGCAGGTCTGCATACATTGAAAATATTATGAATAGTCAGTGCATATTATTATTGTATGGCTCCCTGTAGGCCGATGGTACCACACAGAGTAAGCTGCCATGTCACAGAGTCTGTCCCTTTTTGATGTCCTGTCTAGGTGTTGGTGGATTGTCTCACCCCCCTCCTGCCCTCCCCACTGACAGCAGCTTTGACTCCCTCTTTAAAGAGTTCACCAGCTTCATGTTTGGCTCAGAGGAGAGACAGGTGTCCTCTGCAGAGCTCCAGGACTCGTCTGGATACCAGGCAAGTCTCCGTCTGTGTGTCAAACCCATTGTTTGTAATCATGAAACAGCAAAGTGAGGTGTGTGTTCCAGTATGGGGAGGTGATGCTGACAGCGGACAGAGGGGTGTTCCTGCTGCCAGCGGCTGCCATCACGGCTGACTGTGTGGACAGCAGTCCTGCAGGTAAAGCCTTCAGATCCTCACTGTGATGATGGGACAATGATACATGCTTCAAAGTGTGACGGTAGAACAAGAAGAGACAGCATTAAGAGAGCAAAGTGAGTCAGCAAGGGTGCACTGATGATGTATTTGTGTAGGTCCACCTGGAAGTCATCATAACACCCCTCAACAAAAAGCAATGGGACTATTCCCTAGGATTGGAATATTGCCAAAACAAAACTGGTTTATGATAATTACACGATTTGTTCAGAAGGATAACTCCTACATTTTAACACCAATGTAGGATTCTTGAAGCATTAATGCAATAGGCAGAAGTGAAAAGCTACCGTTAGGCTAGGAACTACATCATAATCACCCTGCTAAGCTAAAGGCGGCTAATGTTTGCCGTGATGGCGTTTACTAGTCTTATTTAGTCAGTTGTTTGCAACCACTGTCTTTATGACAAGCTTCGGACATCACCAGTGGGGGATTAAGCGACCTATCATAGGTCTTAGCTTGTATTGACCACAGAACTTATTTCAGTATTTTAACCAAAGACATATTGACTGAAACAAGGGAACAGGAATTAGTCAAATGCTGAATCATCTCTGGTTGTTAGTACTCAGTAAGCTACACATTGATATCTACAGTATCTAGATGAGAATCACAGTGTCAGACTGTCAGACTGTCAGACATGAAATACTTCCTCAGTATTTGGAGCCTTTTAATAATCCGAAGTAAAGTCCAATCTCAGTAAGAACGCTTCATGTCAGGAGTTTGATTAAGGTTAGCTTGAACTCTGAGCTGGGAGTACTCCCCCTTGTTCACATGGAGTGACCTTTGTCACACTTCCACTCACTGGTTGATTGTAAATGGGTCCTCACGAAGCGATCGTAGGATAGTAAATAGAAATATACATAATGTGCGGAACTGATTTGAAAGAGTTGAACATGTATTTGTAGTTTTGCTGAAGTGTCATAACAACAACATTTATGAGAGGATGGGCGGAGTCACAAGACTGCAGTCAGAACACAAAGTGCAACACAAATAAAAGCCTGTAGCGGGGGGGTAACACAGCAGACACGTTTCTGTTTCTTGCTTCTCAAACAAGGACAATGCTTCCTGCTTTTATTTAGTCACATGATTTCATCTTTCTATGCTGTCATTATTTCAATTGCACCAGTTCAATATTTGGAGTCCTTGTTATTTGTTAAAGGCCGTTTAGGAAATAAGCGTCTTTCTCATGTCATCACTACTATTTCAGGATGGAAACACTGATGAGAGTTTCAAGGAAGTGCTGTTGATTTAGTGAGCTGCTGTTTCCTGTGTGTGTCCTCTGCAGGCTTCCTGAAGGATCAGAGCAGTGTGTGTTCCCGCCGTGTGACCCTGCAGCAGCACTGCAGCTCCCTGCCCCCCCTCAGCATGAACACATACACCGACATCCAGCTGCTGGCTGTGAGTCTGCATCAGGGAGGGGCTTTCAGTGCACTCACATAGACTGACGTTAAAGGGGTCGTCCACCTAATTAACAAAACACACCTTTTTCTAATTGTATCATTAAAGTGCTAATCTTTAAAGCTGAAGTACTGTTTCAAATGATTGTAAGTTAGTCAACATTCTTTGCTTCTATTTGCTTCTAGACAGTGGTTCTTTGTGGGGTTTTGCTTTATGCATGTTTTGTACATTTTGCAAAAGGACACCAAGTGACAAGAACGAGAGATATGCCTAAAACCAGAAAACCATTTAAAGGTTTGAAACTAAATATGTTCTCTCTACAGGGGAAGAATGAAGACGCAGCAGTGAGTACGCCTTCTTTTGTTAAATGCTGACACCATGGTTACTTATGATCAGAGTCAGGTTGGGGATGAGCGGTGGGTAATAAAGAGCACTCATACACAGGAAGCGCTCACCTATTGTGCAAAATCCACTTTTTCAGATTCTCTCTCTGTTCGTCCTGATCCATTTCTATAAAAACCTGTCTGAAAATGAGCTGATCAGATTTTGGCCACGTTATGATGTCATAACGATGTTTTGGCTTGTGTAACCATTAGCCAATCAGCAACCAAGGTAACCCCCCCCCCCCCTTTATCACCTGAATCTCCTCCTAGAGCACCATTGTGTTCTTTGTAACCAAATCTCTCTCAGAGGGGCGTGGGGAGGGGCTCCTTGTTTTCATCTAAAGTAACAGACAGAGAATCAGCACTTTGGAAACAGGGCTGAAACAGAGGGGATTATGGGTAATGCTGCAATGATCAGCCAATCAGAGACACTTCACTTCAGAGACATGTTCTGGATATATCTGAGAGCTATAATATATTGATGAAAAACAGTATAATAGGGGACCTTTAATATAATACAAAATATATATTTTAGAAATAAATCAAAAGTAGAAAAGCTGTGCAATTTTAAGAAAGGTAATATTGAGCTGAAATGTGCAAAAATATACAGAGGAATTTGCAAGGATTAACAGGCAACTCGGAATCAGGTTGGATGCTACTTCATACCTCTATATTCACACTGTGTCTCCATGATGTGACCAGCTCAGAGGTGGATGTTACTTCCCTCACAGCCTCCAAACCCCATCATGACATCCAGGCTGAGTGATGTTGTTTTGACACCTAGCTGGGTTGGATGAAACACCCAAAGAGTTGCAAAAACAGAGTGTTAAAACATTCTCACGACCTCAGATTCCTGCCCGAGCAGCAGATTTAGCAAGACTCTGCTCTGCAACCATTTGAGGGGACCAGCTGCAACGAGCGGACAGGAAGCACTGCTCACTGTCACAACGCTACCACCCAGAAGAGGGAAGCATTCACACCACCTGACAGTACTGCACATTATTACATGGCTTAGTTGAATACTCGATTCTGATTGGTCAATTCAGAACACGTGACACGTTGTTAATCCAGTAGTACAGACGGCTGTCAAGGATTTATTGACCGTTGTTAAGGACGCTCACATCTGCAGAAAGAAGTCCGGTCGATTGAACTGTACACAGTTTGGCCTGTTTGCTTGTCTTTAGTTTTGCGTTGTCTACCGTCTGAGAGCAACATGGAGGATTTTCATATTACTTGTAATATATTTGGAGAGCACAGTCATTTGGAGGAATGGTTAGTGGCTGATGAGTCCCCAGTAAAGAGAAGGACAAGAAAACAGCGGAGAAGTAAGAGAGGCGAAAAGACGGACCACATTATGGGCTATGAAACACTTTAAAGACCGGCTGATTGAAAGAACCGACCAACAGAATTTGACAGCAACGGGGCAGAAACCCTCAACACGGAGCTGCGGTCCTTTTTACTCCCCTGATCAGCCTGTCGGGTGTTCTTTCACCCATAATGACCGCCTCGCTGCCCGTTATCCCTCGCTTACTTCATCAAAACACAGTGGTAGTGTGTATGGATTTTTCTTCATTTTAGTATGGTGTGAAAATCAAACAGTGGAAACCTCATTGAGAGGAGGAAATATAATCCAGCACATTACACACACTGTCTGCTTTGAAATTAATATGGCTTGAATAAGACCACTACGATGACAACACTTCTGTCCAACAGCCCTCCATAGCCACCATGTGTTACATTAACACACCATATGAGCCATTCCTCAGGTTCCACCATGGAAGCCCTTCACATTCCTCTGTATCCCTTTCACATTTCTGCACAATGACAATGAGCCAGTTATCTCTTTCAGTTCTGATGTACTGTAGGGATTTGTTCTCTATAACGTTATTTAGCATATTTATATTTCCTTTAAATATTTCATTGTATTCTTCATTTTTGTTATAGTTTTAAAATACTATTTAAATAGCTTTATATATGTTTGTAATGAATTCTCCTCTTATTGATTGTGTGTGTGTGTGTGTGTGTGTGTGTTGTGTGTGTGTGGTGTGTGTGTGTGTGTGTGTGTGTGTGTGTGTGTGTGTGTTGTGGTGTGTGGTGTGTGTGTGTGTGTGTGTGGTGTGTGTGTGTGTGTGTGGTGTGTGTGTGTGTGTGTGTGTGTGTGTGTGTGTGTGTGTGTGTGTGTGTGGTGTGTGTGTGTGTGTGTGTGTGTGTGTGTGTGTGTGTGTGTGTGTGTGTGTGTTGTGTGTGTGTGTGTGTGTGTGTGTGTGTGGTGTGTGTGGGTGTGTTGTGTGTGTGCTGTGTGTGCAGGTTGTTTCCTGTGCAGGTGTGTTCGGTGGTGCTGCAGTCTGTGGAGGGGACTCAGACAGAGCTGCAGATCAGTGACGGAGAAGACCTCCCCCCCGCCCTCCTGGACCCCAGCCTCTGTGCTAACGTGGTGCTGCAGGTGAGCCTCCATCACAGCACATTTGCCCTAAAGTCATGTTTTATTGACAGTTTTCAGTTTTGCGAGCGATGGCAGAGTCTGACCTTTGTCTCCGTAGGTGGCCTATGTGATGAAGTACAGCCCCGCTGGAGAGATAGTGAATGTCTCCGTGTCTCTGGTGCTAGGATCTGTCTCTGAGGCAGAACTGACGCTGGAGCAGGAGTTTCACATCACATTTGTCCAGGTATTGTCTGCACTGCTAGCTCTGTATCAGGGATTTAGTTTTTATTTTATTCATTGGAGAATCTCAGTAGTGCTATGTTACAATCAGATCTACTATTTACAGTAGATACAGTTTAAATAAAAAGATATCAAGGATGTCATATTCAAAGGGAGGGTACATTTATGAAGACACATTTGTGAGTGTAGCTTCAGTGTTTCTTTTGCTTCTGCGTTAATCTCCCATACTCTGTGTCCGTATGTTCCTACAAGGTTCAGTCTCTGTCTTGTGAATGCAACATCTCAGGAAAACACTGACTCAGGGAATATTTTTAACAGATTAGATGTTAGGGGTTAAAGGTCAAAGTAACTGTGACTTCACAAAACACGTTTTTGACCATAACTAAAGAAAAAGTACAGTAATTATAAAAATGTAGTCCGTCCCACAGTCTTTAGTTTGTTTATTGTTCTAAATCCAAAGTGGCAAAAAGGACCCACAAATGTGCCAGCAGAGCCCCAGCTCAGGTGCAAGAGGACAGCAGAGCCCCCAGCTCAGGTGCAAGAGGACAGCAGAGCCCCCAGCTCAGGTGCAAGAGGACAGCAGAGCCCCCAGCTCAGGTACAAGAGGACAGTAGAGCCCCAGCTCAGGTACAAGAGGACAGTAGAGCCCCAGCTCAGGTGCAAGAGGACAGCAGAGCCCCCAGCTCAGGTGCAAGAGGACAGCAGAGCCCCCAGCTCAGGTGCAAGAGGACAGCAGAGCCCCCAGCTCAGGTGCAAGAGGACATGCAGAGCCCCAGCTCAGGTGCAAGAGGACAGCAGAGCCCCCAGCTCAGGTGCAAGAGGACAGCAGAGCCCCCAGCTCAGGTGCAAGAGGACAGCAGAGCCCCCAGCTCAGGTACAAGAGGACAGTAGAGCCCCCAGCTCAGGTACAAGAGGACAGCAGAGCCCCCAGCTCAGGTGCAAGAGGACAGCAGAGCCCCCAGCTCAGGTGCAAGAGGACAGCAGAGCCCCCAGCTCAGGTGCAAGAGGACAGCAGAGCCCCCAGCTCAGGTACAAGAGGACAGTAGAGCCCCCAGCTCAGGTGCAAGAGGACAGCAGAGCCCCCAGCTCAGGTACAAGAGGACAGCAGAGCCCCCAGCTCAGGTGCAAGAGGACAGCAGAGCCCCCAGCTCAGGTGCAAGAGGACAGCAGAGCCCCCAGCTCAGGTACAAGAGGACAGCAGAGCCCCCAGCTCAGGTACAAGAGGACAGTAGAGCCCCCAGCTCAGGTACAAGAGGACAGCAGAGCCCCCAGCTCAGGTGCAAGAGGACAGTAGAGCCCCCAGCTCAGGTGCAAGAGGACAGCAGAGCCCCCAGCTCAGGTGCAAGAGGACAGTAGAGCCCCCAGCTCAGGTGCAGAGGACAGCAGAGCCCCCAGCTCAGGTGCAAGAGGACAGTAGAGCCCCCAGCTCAGGTACAAGAGGACAGCAGAGCCCCCAGCTCAGGTACAAGAGGACAGTAGAGCCCCCAGCTCAGGTGCAAGAGGACAGCAGAGCCCCCAGCTCAGGTACAAGAGGACAGCAGAGCCCCCAGCTCAGGTGCAAGAGGACAGTAGAGAGCCCCAGCTCAGGTGCAAGAGGACAGCAGAGCCCCCAGCTCAGGTGCAAGAGGACAGTAGAGCCCCCAGCTCAGGTACAAGAGGACAGTAGAGCCCCCAGCTCAGGTACAAGAGGACAGTAGAGCCCCCAGCTCAGGTGCAAGAGGACAGCAGAGCCCCCAGCTCAGGTACAAGAGGACAGTAGAGCCCCCAGCTCAGGTACAAGAGGACAGTAGAGCCCCCAGCTCAGGTGCAAGAGGACAGCAGAGCCCCCAGCTCAGGTGCAAGAGGGACAGCAGAGCCCCCAGCTCAGGTACAAGAGGACAGTAGAGCCCCCAGCTCAGGTGCAAGAGGACAGCAGAGCCCCCAGCTCAGGTGCAAGAGGGACAGCAGAGCCCCCAGCTCAGGTGCAAGAGGACAGCAGAGCCCCCAGCTAAGGTGCAAGAGGACAGCAGAGCCCCCAGCTCGGTGCAAGAGGACAAGCAGAGCCCCCAGCTCAGGTGCAAGAGGACAGCAGAGCCCCCAGCTCAGGTACAAGAGGGACAGCAGAGCCCCCAGCTCAGGTACAGAGAGGACAGTAGAGCCCCCAGCTCAGGTACAAGAGGACAGCAGAGCCCCCAGCTCAGGTGCAAGAGGACAGCAGAGCCCCCAGCTCAGGTGCAAGAGGACAGCAGAGCCCCCAGCTCAGGTGCAAGAGGACAGCAGAGCCCCCCAGCTCAGGTACAAGAGGACAGCAGAGCCCCCAGCTCAGGTACAAGAGGACAGCAGAGCCCCCAGCTCAGGTGCAAGAGGACAGTAGAGCCCCCAGCTCAGGTGCAAGAGGACAGCAGAGCCCCCAGCTCAGGTGCAAGAGGACAGTAGAGCCCCCAGCTCAGGTTGCAAGAGGACAGCAGAGCCCCCAGCTCAGGTGCAAGAGGACAGTAGAGCCCCCAGCTCAGGTGCAAGAGGACAGCAGAGCCCCCAGCTCAGGTGCAAGAGGACAGTAGAGCCCCCAGCTCAGGTACAAGAGGACAGCAGAGCCCCAGCTCAGGTACAAGAGGACAGCAGAGCCCCCAGCTCAGGTGCAAGAGGACAGCAGAGCCCCCAGCTCAGGTACAAGAGGACAGCAGAGCCCCCAGCTCAGGTGCAAGAGGACAGCAGAGCCCCCAGCTCAGGTGCAAGAGGACAGCAGAGCCCCCAGCTCAGGTGCAAGAGGACAGTAGAGCCCCCAGCTCAGGTACAAGAGACAGTAGAGCCCCAGCTCAGGTACAAGAGGACAGTAGAGCCCCCAGCTCAGGTGCAAGAGGACAGCAGAGCCCCCAGCTCAGGTACAAGAGGACAGCAGAGCCCCCAGCTCAGGTACAAGAGGACAGTAGAGCCCCCAGCTCAGGTGCAAGAGGACAGCAGAGCCCCCAGCTCAGGTACAAGAGGACAGCAGAGCCCCCAGCTCAGGTACAAGAGGACAGCAGAGCCCCCAGCTCAGGTACAAGAGGACAGCAGAGCCCCCAGCTCAGGTACAAGAGGACAGCAGAGCCCCCAGCTCAGGTACAATGAGGACAGCAGAGCCCCTCCAGCTCAGGTACAAGAGGACAGCAGAGCCCCCATCTCAGGTACAAGAGGACAGCAGAGCCCCCAGCTCAGGTGCAAGAGGCCAGCAGAGCCCCAGCTCAGGTGCAAGAGGACAGCAGAGCCCCCAGCTCAGGTGTCAAGAGGGAGCAGCAGAGCCCCCAGCTCAGGTGCAAGAGGACAGCAGAGCCCCCAGCTCAGGAGCAAGAGGACAGCAGAGCCCCCAGCTCAGGTGCAAGAGGACAGCAGAGCCCCCAGCTCAGGTGCAAGAGGACAGCAGAGCCCCCAGCTCAGGTTGCAAGAGACAAGCAGAGCCCCCAGCTCAGGTGCAAGAGGACAGCAGAGCCCCCAGCTCAGGAGCAAGAGGACGCAGAGCCCCCAGCTCAGGTGCAAGAGGACAGCAGAGCCCCCAGCTCAGGTTGCAAGAGGACAGCGAGAGCCCCCAGCTCAGGTGTGCAAGAGGACAGCAGAGCCCCCAGCTCAGTTGCAAGGGACAGCAGAGCCCCCAGCTCAGGTGCAAGAGGACAGCAGAGCCCCCAGCTCAGGCTGCAAGAGGCCCCCAGCTCAGGTGCAAGAGGACAGCAGAGCCCCCAGCTCAGGTGCAAGAGGGACAGTAGAGCCCCCAGCTCAGGTGCAAGAGGACAGCAGAGCCCCCAGCTCAGGTGCAAAGAGGACAGCAGAGCCCCCAGCTCAGGTGCAAGAGGACAGCAGAGCCCCAGCTCAGGTGCAAGAGGACAGCAGAGCCCCCAGCTCAGGTGCAAGAGGACAGCAGAGCCCCCAGCTCAGGTGCAAGAGGACAGCAGAGCCCCAGCTCAGGTGCAAGAGGACAGCAGAGCCCCCAGCTCAGGTACAAGAGGACAGCAGAGCCCCCAGCTCAGGTGCAAGAGGACAGCAGAGCCCCCAGCTCAGGTGCAAGAGGACAGCAGAGCCCCCAGCTCAGGTGCAAGAGGACAGCAGAGCCCCCAGCTCAGGTGCAAGAGGACAGCAGAGCCCCCAGCTCAGGTGCAAGAGGACAGCAGAGCCCCCAGCCTCAGGAGCAAGAGGACAGCAGAGCCCCCAGCTCAGATGCAAGAGGACAGCAGAGCCCCCAGCTCAGGTACAAGAGGACAGTAGAGCCCCCCAGCTCAGGTGCAAGAGGACAGCAGAGCCCCCAGCTCAGGTGCAAGAGGACAGCAGAGCCCCCAGCTCAGGTACAAGAGGACAGTAGAGCCCCAGCTCAGGTGCAAGAGGACAGCAGAGCCCCCAGCTCAGGTACAAGAGGACAGCAGAGCCCCAGCCTCAGGTACAAGAGGACAGTAGAGCCCCCAGCTCAGGTACAAGAGGACAGCAGAGCCCCCAGCTCAGGTGCAAGAGGACAGTAGAGCCCCCAGCTCAGGTGCAAGAGGACAGCAGAGCCCCCAGCTCAGGTGCAAGAGGACAGTAGAGCCCCCAGCTCAGGTACAAGAGGACAGTAGAGCCCCCAGCTCAGGTACAAGAGACAGTAGAGCCCCCAGCTCAGGTGCAAGAGGACAGCAGGAGCCCCCAGCTCAGGTGCAAGAGGACAGCAGAGCCCCCAGCTCAGGTGCAAGAGGACAGCAGAGCCCCCAGCTCAGGTGCAAGAGGACAGCAGAGCCCCCAGCTCAGGTGCAAGAGGACAGCAGAGCCCCCAGCTCAGGTGCAAGAGGACAGCAGAGCCCCCAGCTCAGGTGCAAGAGGACAGCAGAGCCCCCAGCTCAGGTGCAAGAGGACAGCAGAGCCCCCAGCTCAGGTGCAAGAGGACAGCAGAGCCCCCAGCTCAGGTGCAAGAGGACAGCAGAGCCCCCAGCTCAGGTGCAAGAGGACAGCAGAGCCCCCAGCTCAGGTGCAAGAGGACAGCAGAGCCCCCAGCTCAGGTGCAAGAGGACAGCAGAGCCCCCAGCTCAGGTGCAAGAGGACAGCAGAGCCCCCAGCTCAGGTGCAAGAGGACAGTAGAGCCCCCAGCTCAGGTGCAAGAGGACAGTAGAGCCCCCAGCTCAGGTGCAAGAGGACAGCAGAGCCCCCAGCTCAGGTGCAAGAGGACAGCAGAGCCCCCAGCTCAGGTGCAAGAGGACAGCAGAGCCCCCAGCTCAGGTGCAAGAGGACAGCAGAGCCCCCAGCTCAGGTGCAAGAGGACAGCAGAGCCCCAGCTCAGGTGCAAGAGGACAGCAGAGCCCCCCAGCTCAGGTGCAAGAGGACAGCAGAGCCCCCAGCTCAGGTGCAAGAGGACAGCAGAGCCCCCAGCTCAGGTGCAAGAGGACAGCAGAGCCCCCAGCTCAGGTGCAAGAGGACAGCAGAGCCCCCAGCTCAGGAGCAAGAGGACAGCAGAGCCCCCAGCTCAGGTGCAAGAGGACAACAGAGCCCCCAGCTCAGGTGCAAGAGGACAACAGAGCCCCCAGCTCAGGTGCAAGAGGACAGCAGAGCCCCCCAGCTCAGGTGCAAGAGGACAGCAGAGCCCCCAGCTCAGGTGCAAGAGGACAGCAGAGCCCCCAGCTCAGGTGCAAGAGGACAGCAGAGCCCCCAGCTCAGGTGCAAGAGGACAGTAGAGCCCCAGCTCAGGTGCAAGAGGACAGTAGAGCCCCCAGCTCAGGTGCAAGAGGACAGCAGAGCCCCCAGCTCAGGGGCAAGAGGACAGCAGAGCCCCCAGCTCAGGTGTAAGAGGACAGTACAGGACAGTGGCATTAACTAAGCTGGAGATCTGGCTAAACACTCTCAAACCACCACTAACGATGCTCACTTCTGGATTTTGTGAGTTTGGAAGAGATCATACTATGTGTTATTTTAAAGGTCTCCTATTGTACTATTTTTAGGCATATATTATAGGTCTCAGATATATAGAAATATATAAATAACATGTCTATGAAGTGTTTTGCTCAAAATACCAAACAGATCACCCATTGTAGCTTCATACCCCTCTATTTCAGCCCTGTTAGAGAAGTGCTGATTCTGGGTCCGTAGCTTTAAAAAAATAAACGAGAGGAGAGGGGAGCTCATGCAGGAGAATTCTACCCAGATACTCAGCCAAATGCTGCCGTGATTAAACGCCATATCATGTTCTAAACCACATCAAGCATTATTTCTGAAACAGTTTGGAGCTCAAATACTTTTTCTCTCGCGGGTTTACCACAAGGTGAGTTCCTTTATTTTTCCTGCTTCTTTACACAGGAAAAGAGAGAGGGTTTTGTTTTCGACACTTTGTGAGTCTCCTTACACACCGGGGACACATATTTAGGTATAAAAGACATCAAAAAGTGCATTTTGCATGATAGGAGACCTTTAACACAGTGTTTGTGTGGGGTTGCTAGTGTACAGAGATATGTAGGATGACCATCACACCCTCAGTGTCTGAGAGTCATCTTACGCTGACAGAAGGAGAGGAAATGTTTCAGCAAGCAGAGAATCAGATACACTGAAACTGCCTTAAAGGGCAGTCCGGATGCTACTGCCCTACCAGTGGGAATGAAGACCTTTTGTTGGTATGATTAAGTGATGTATTGTGTGTCTCTTTAACAGGAGGATGGGGGGGAGGGGGCGGTCCACTCCAGTGGAAACCCAGGTTATGTTGTTGGACTTCCTCTCGTATCTGGAACAAGAACTGCAGAATATCCTTTACCTGCCTGGGCGACACCTGTTGGTTGACTTTGATAAGAGAACCATATTCAATTGTGCAACACCCGATATGAATATTCTTTCACACTTTTCTCTATCCTTTGCTTTTTATACAATCACCCAGGGTTTCCCAGTGATGGGTTTTAATACATCTTGTAGGCCTGTTTTTAGGCCAACATACACACATAATAAATTAGAGGAACTTCTTGCCTGTGCGTCTCCAGTCTCCCTCTTTGGCATGATTATCTTGTATATCATTGTTTTTCCTAACGCATTATAGTCTGCAGGAGAATTTTGATTTCACCGCATACCTACTGGACGCTGGTTCTCCCTCACCTTAAACCATATTCATTCTGTTCTGTGTTGACAGTGTTTGATTGGTCCTTAACAGTGGTGCTCACAGGGATTGTTGGGAGCCTGGACCCCAGAGACACTCTGTCCCTCCTGCTCAGTGCGGAACAGCAGGACTGTCTGCGGGGGCCCCAGCAGCGCGCCCCCGTCCTCTTCGCTGTGGACTCTGTCTCCGGTTGCACGTTAAGGCAGGACACACTCAGCACACAGATACTTCCTGATGTCTTGGTGCTGTATATGTGATGCTGACTGTCCTCTCCCTGCAGACTGGAGGATGCTGGCAACTGCTCTCTGGTCCAGCAGCTGCTGCTGGATGTTCTGAGGGGGCCGAACCCCCCCCAGCATGTGGCCTCCTTTAGAAACTCCCTGTTAGACTCTCCTATGGACTGGCTGCCAATCAAGAACAACCTCAATCCTGGGGTGAGTCTCAGGTCAAATCCTGAATCTGATTGGAGAAGTGTGAGCTAAATCAGAGAAATAAACTCCAATATTCTATAAGCCTATAATATAATATCACATTAATGGCAATGCTGTTTTTGAGAGAGTATGCCTGGGATTTTTCTACATTATATTTGTATTTTATTTAATTATTTTTGTATTTTATTTAACTATTTTTGTATTTTATTTAATTATTTTTCCTTTTTACTAATTAAATTAAATTCCTTTTTTTTTTAAACTAGTTTTATTTCCACACACTGAATGTCAGAAGTGGTTGATTGAACACCTGTAGGACTTATCTCTACAATTTGCTGGTCGAGTGTGAGCTTTTTTTTTTTCTTGGATTCCAATTGTAATTTGAATTAGAAATTCTGGATTTTCCTCCTGGATATAAAATAAGTTACTGCATGTTAACAAAAAAAAGTCATTTATTTCCTAATTGTGTCAAACCACGTTGGCTAGATTACTGGCCTCAGCTATTTCATGATGGTTGAATCCAACAGCATTATACTTTTTTAAATGTATTTTCTTTAAATGAATGTTGATCAAGACAGAAATAAGTATATTCTTTATGTTGAGGAACCATAATCCAACAGTGTTTGTGTTTTTCAGGAAGCACAGAGTTGCAGCATCCCATTGTCACTTCATTTAGAAGTTCAATGGACCCAGTATGGATCCTTGGTGAACCCCCAAGCTCAGATTGTGAGCATCAAAGAAATAATCCAAACCAACACCACCAGTTTGGTAAGATGTACCTAAATATACTAATAATACTGACAGGATATGCAATGGTTATCTCCTGTATCTGACTGTACTCTCCCACAGGAAGTGTTGTCAGCAGGCAGCAGCACCCTCAGCATCAGCAGCTCCGTGGCCTTCATACCAGTCTCTGCTGCTGCCCTTCCTGGTTACAGAGCCACGCCCACCATCGACGCCAAACTGCCTTTTGACTTCTTCTTCCCTTTTGTCTGACTTCCTCTTTCCTTTTTCCTAACACTTCTTCCTTTTTGTCAACAAGTACTGTTTACATGATGACTGTGTTCCTGTATATAGTATGTTTGTAAAAAGATAATTTAACAAATGTTTTTTTTTTAATAAAAGGAAATCACTTCATTTATTGGCATGTGTTTTTATACAGCATACAGTCATTATTAATGCCCCTTAAGCAGATTCACATTCAGTTTAACATCATCAGTGTAAGGGAATTTAAGGCCTTGTAGCTTCCTGGAGTGATGCATTAAAACATCTGACTTCATTAGTCACCATACTTTTTACTGGTTTCCATCACTATAATGACAAGAATCCTAGATATGCATCTTCTGATAAAGATATTAAAATAGATCATTTCCCTTCAGGTAATACAATAACAGATGAGAATGTATCATGGAATGCATGGTATGAAAAAGTGCAGAAAGTGATGTAATATAGAGACGTTGGACAGTAGCTCCACAACATGTATCTCCCTGAGTTAGAAGTCGATGCTGTGCTTCTTCAGCAGGGCTTGAAGTCTCTGGTTCTCCTGACCCTAAGGGAGAAGGAGACAGACAGAGAGGTGAGTCAGTCTGCTGTTGGACCTTAAAGATAACTGAACAATTATGCAGCGTTTCATTTCCCCCTGATGGGTGTTGTCTCAACTCGCACACTGCTGCCTTGCCCTTACTGGTAGTGATAATTGTAGCTGTAAGTTAACCAGCTAAGTAGCAACGATATTTCGCTTTAGCAAATCCTTACAAACCCTAACCTCAACTAACCCTCAAAGCTTCTTTTCAACATCAGTATAGTGATACCACAATCACGGCTGGTTGCGTAACTTCCATTCCGTTGGAGACATTTGAGTGTGAGAAGTGTCCAGCGTTCCACACTCACATTTTTAAATGTGACTAGAAGACCATCTGGATACTCATAATGCACTGCATGTTGATATACTGACCATTGGGAAATACTTTTGCAACCCAACCCTTACAATAGCAAATGTAAGTACAGAATACGTGAACCGAGACAGCGCTAGTTCTAGCATTGTTGCCGAAGTGCTATGTCACTACGAATGACAGAGCTAGTTACCCGGGCTAGGGATGATGAAATATTATCCATGTTTAAGTTTTATACTGTAAGGTTTTATATCCCCCTTAGGTTGTCAAATGACTTCAAAATGTCTCAGTGTCCTCAAATTGTCCCTGTGGTCATTCAGAACCTTTCAGTTGTAACTGATGCAGCAGGCATCACTCACCAGCGTGTCGCTGCGCTCCTGCAGCTCGGTGACTCTCTGCACCAGGTGGTCGTAGCTCTCCTTCAGCTTGTGCAGCTTTTGGTTAGCACGAGTCTTCAATGACACCAGGATACCTGCAACACACACACACACACACACACACACACACACACACACACACACACACACACACACAACACACACACCACACACACACACACACACAACACACACACACACACACACACACACACACACACACACACACACACACGTGTGATTCTTATGCTCTTCTTCTTTTCACATGCACATTTTCACTGCGATCCAAAGGGAAGCCGTACAACTGAAATCAGGTGAAGTTTGTTTATTAAGGATCCCCATTAGCTTTTGCTCTTGACAAAAGGGTTGTGGGGAAGAGGAGAGGGATAACAGGTTTTTGAACAGAATACTTTATAAGTGAAATTGAGTTTTATGACATTTTTACAATTAACAGATAAATACTGTTGAAAATATATGTAAAGAAATTTAAATATGCAATAAAAGTATAAAATAAAGATGTTTATATTAACAATTAAAATGTCGTATAAAAGATAAAATAAATAAGAGTACAAAAATGTATATAACATGTACAGTGGAGGAAATAAGTATTTGATCCCTTGCACACCACTTACAAAGAAATGAACAGTCTATATTTGTAATGTTTGTTTTAACAATGAGAGTAAGAATATCAAAAAGAAAATCCAGATTTGACATTATATAAAAGATACACATTTGTTTGCATTTAACTGTGGGAAATAAGTATTTGATCCCCTTTCAACCAACAAGAATTCTGGCTCCCACAGACCGGTTACATAACTCCATTTCCTTTAGGAAAGTACTCATAATATCAACTTGTTACCTGTATAAAAGACACCTGTCCACAGAATCAATCAATCAGATTCCAACCTCTCCACCATGGACAAGACTAAAGAGCTGTCTAAGGACCTCAGGGACAAGAGTGTAGACCTGCACCAGGCTGGGATTGGCTACAAGATCATCAGAAAGCAGCTTGGTGAGGAGGAGACAACTGTTCAGGGACGTGCACAGGTGGGCTATTGTTGCCGGGGCAACGGCCCGTTTTCCCTTTTTGGCTGACCTGCCCCTCTGGAGAGACCGAGAGGTTTTTTTTCCTCTTTCTGTTGTGGTCGAATTAACATGATAAGCCCACAATTAGTATTGTCTCGCTGCGGGAAACACACCAGCTTCATTCTTCTTCTACTACTTATTTTACTTCTTCTTCTCCTTCTTCTTACATGTAATTGCCCGCGAAATTTTAAATGAAGAACTCGTTTCAGTGTGAACTCACCACAAAAGTGTTTTAAACGAGGTAGGCCTACGTTTTTATTATTTATGTTCTATATAGCTAAGTGTGTGATTACACAAGTTACGTATTATATATATAATATTTATTATAGGCTACTGGTGCCGGTGCGTTAAGACCAGTGACGTGTGGTGAGGTTCATGGCTGGTGAGGCACTGACTCTTTCAGAGACAGATTTACAAATATTATATTTTGACCTTAATCGAAATATTCGGTTATTTTCAAAAGCTTTTTTGGTCTGATGTTTCGATTCATTTTAAACAGACCGTTCAACAAAAGGATAGGCCTACCCACAATTTAAATATTGGATTGTTCTTTCTTAGTAAGATCCCCATTTTCATTACCAATGTGGTCTTACCTTGACTTGAAGATGAAGTCCATGCTATCCTTCTGGACAACAATCTCTATTACTTCTTTGTAAAAGTCCTCCTTATCTTCCTCTAGTTTCAAAAGTCTAGTTTGTTGTTTGTGTCTACCAGGGGTGGGCGGATCGATCCCAAAATATCGATACTTCCGATATTACGTTACGTTTCAAAATATCGATACTAGAGCCAATAGGATCGATACTGTTATACTTTTTTTCTCGCCTCCTCTACTCGTCAATTTCTTCAAAAAACTATGTGCAGACGAACACAAGTATATGCTATTTTCTTCTCTCTCCACTGCTGTCCTCTTCTCCTCGAGGCTCCCTGCCTGAACGCCGATTATCAAGCTGACTGACAGCAGCCAGCAGGGCAGGACAGCAGCAGCCAGCGACTCGCGAGTGCAACACACACACGCGCATGATGGCTGAGAGAAAGAGCAGCGTTGTGTGGAGCAATTTCACAACTGGCCATTAAAACTTAGCGAACTGTGATGTGTGCAAGAAGACAGTTCGCTACTTTGGCCACTTTGTATTGTTATTTTTCATGTTTGCACTTTAAATTTGCAAAAGTAAAACGTTGTGTATTTGTCTTATAAAAACTGTCCTGTCTTTATTCATGAAAATGAATTCAGATTTAGTCTATTTATGATGATTTCAGCTCAAAAACCATGTCATGCAGCTCTCCCCTATATGAAAGTACATAAGACGCTTTTCATTAAAAATAAGTATCGGTATCGATATCGGTATCGGCGATACTGGCCTTGAAATACTTGGTATCGGATCGAATCCAGATTTTGTGGTATCGCCCACCCCTAGTGTCTACCGTCTCTGCGTAGAATAACAGTAGCAACAAGGACCTGTGGGCTCACGTGCGCCCCCTTCAGTGTGGCAGAGGTTATGGCTGCCTCTCCTGGTGCTTTTTTCATTGCCGTTGTACGGCGAGCCTAAATATCATATATACGTGAAATACGTTATTTAGAGACTATGGATGGCGAGGATAAATGTAATAAATGGATCTACAAACATTACATTGGTGACATACAGTGAGATGGTAACAGGCATGCGCTTAGGGCCCGCTTTCCAGCCAGTTTCTGTGGGGTGACGCATTCTGAGGTGAGGCAGAGCTCATCTGTGCCTCACCTCCCCACACAGTAACTGGCTTGAGCGCGCTCACAAAATAAGTGGCCGCGCTAAATTAGTGCCCGCGCTCCAGCAAGTTACTGTGGGCTTACGTGAGGCAGAGCTCGTCCCTGCCTCACTTCTCATCGCTACCCGTAGTTGTAGCGGAGCTCGGCAAATTTGCTGATTTTGACTATAAAAAGCGATTGGAATCATACATAAATCACATTTACAAGTTACAACACAGATCAGTCGAGACATTTTATTATTATTACTATTTAGTTTTTCTTTAGTTGTTTTTCTGTTATATTGGAGTATGACGGAGCCTACACACGGCGGCGTGCGTTGCCGCTTCAACGCTTCTGCCCATTCACTTTGAATGGGGTGACGTCACGATTCGCCGAACTGCATTGTGGGAGCAAAGCGTAGCTTCTCTCGCGGTGCTCGCTGCAAAAGTAGAGCAATGTTCTACTTTGCGCCTCGACGGAGGCGTCAGCCAATCAAATCCCGCGTATGCAAATCTGACATTACAAGCGCTAGCCAATCAAACCGCGTGTATGTTGGCAGAGCCAGACCGCAGTTATTTCCCATATGTCAAAAAATGGAGGAGAAAATGATCGTGGCGGTACTATATGACCAGTCCCTCTTTACATACAGGGATACAAACCGGAGGAGCCAGGCATGGGGGGAGGTGGCAGAGACAGTGGGTGAAACTGGTAGGTTTTCGCCTGTTTGGGGAGTTTATATCCAGTGTACTTCGTTTGAATGGACAGCTAGCAAGCATAGACAGTATATTTAGCCAGCATGGATGTAGCATGAATGCTTTGCTTTGTATGTCCGGGGCGGGACATTCATGTGATTGGGTGTTGGTCGCGTTGTTCGTAAAAAATCCCCAAGCTTCAGACACGCCCACCGCCAAGCGGTAACGCACGCCGCCGTGTGTAGGGGCCGTGACAGGTGAGGCTCTGCCTCCCCTGACTGCACGTCGCTGGTTAAGACCACTTCAAGTGTCGGATTTTGGAAAATGGATTTTGAGTTTTCTCATGGCAGGGACTTTACTTCCTCTTGACACCGTCGGTTATTTACAAAAAACACCTACATATATTTGTTATTGTGCTTCTGTCTTTCTGTGTCTTTTCATCTGCTCCGTAACTCCCTCAACGCGCCGCTCGCTCTCTTTTCTTGATCGCCCTCTCACATACAGGAGAATACTTCACTGCCCGCTTCATTGTAGAATTTCTGCCATGTCTCTACTTTCATTTCACCATCTCTGTTATTAAGTTATGGAATACTAAATAAATAAGTAATTAGATACCTTACCGTTACTGTACTCATAAAGAATGATAGGAATAAGAATAATGCGTATTGAACTGGTTTCATTAATTAGTGAGTTTATTTAAATTAGATTAAATTATAGAAGCCCTATGTTATCAGTATGTCTGCACAGCAGTTACAATGGTCAAACTACATTGAATTGTACCCATTTTTTCTTTAATAGTTACATTAGATATTTTAATGAGATATGGACCGCAAACCAGAAATGTACCTGGTTTTCATTTTAAAAAATCAAGTCGGCTGGGACCACAGACCCAAGAAAACTATTGGTAACACACTACATCATAATGGATCAAATCCTGCAGCGCCTGAAGGTCCCCTGCTCAAGAAGAACATGAGAGGCCCGTCTGAAGTTTGACAATGAACCTCTGAAGGATTCAGAGAAGGCTTGGGAGAAGAGGATGTGGTCAGATCAGACCTTCGAGATCTTTGGCATCAACTCGACGTGCCGTGTTTGGAGGAAGAGAGATCGCTGACTATAACCCCAGAACACCATCCGTCAAGCGTGCAGGTGGAAACATTCTGCTTTGGGGTGTTTCTCTGCTAAGGGGACAGGAGGACTTCCTGCATTGAGGACACTGAACATGGGTCATGGAGGGGTCTTCCAGCAGGACAATGACCCTGAACATACGGCCAAGGCAACACAGCAGTGGCTAAAGAAGAAGCACATTTAGGTGATGGATTGGCCTAGCCAGTCTCCAGACCTTAATCCCATAGAACATCTGTGGAGGGAGCTGAAGCTTCCAGATGCCAAGCATCAGCCTCAAAACCTGAAGGGTTTGGAGAGGATCTTCAGAGAGGAGGGGACCAACATTCTTCCTGAGATGTGCACAAACCTGGAGACCAGCTACAAGAAGCGTCTGACCTCTGTGCATCCAACAAGGGTTTCTCCACCAAGATCTAAGACATGTTTTGTGATCAAAAACTTATTTCACACAGTTAGATGCAAATCCATTTTTCTTTTATATAATGTTAATTTCTGGATTTTCTTTTTGATATTCTTACTCTCACTGTTCAAATAAACCTACCATTAAAAATACAGACTGTTCATTTATTTGTAATTGGGCAAACTTACAACATGTGCAAGGGATCAAATACTTATTTCCTCCACTGTATATCACAATATATGTATTATTATTAAGATATAAAAAAGTATGTATATCCACTAAGTACCGTTCTAATTCACCCTGTTTATTCGATTTCACCAAAGATCTATTTAGAAAATTGTTTTTCTGGGTAATTTACGTGTATACAATAGTTTATTTCTAATTGATCAAATAAGAAGAATTTTAATGTATCAGTCATGGCCGACTTTGCTCAGATCCAAGGATTTGCCAGATGAACCCGCTAGGGGGCCCTGGGCCAAAAACAATTGGCCAATTAGCCAGCCAGTAGTCTGCCTACCTGGATGTTAACTGCGTATAAGGGGGCTGTTTCTCACATATGTGTGCATCTAGACCGGGTGACGACACTACCTATTGACGCAGCAACCACCGTAAGTTATATTGTTGTTTAATTAGACTTCACTGTTTCATTTATTCTACTCTGTATAATTGTTCTGTAGTTATTGTAGCTAAAACGGCACTTTTGAGAGATTTAAATCTCAGATCTGCTCAAGTGAACCTGTTACACAGGTCTCAGTAGGGGCACTCAACCCTGCATTACAATATAGGCAGGGCCACTCTGCTGTCGCCCATCAGCTGTAGAGAGGTAACTAATTAGAGGGGCGTGGCCCCACAGCTGTGAGAACTCAGCAATCAGGCGTCCATTTTAGGTAGCTCTTTCTGACAAAGACATTGGAGTCCTGCGGGAGTAAGACTGACAAAGACATTAGAGTCCTGCGGGAGTCACGAGGGTGGCAAAAAGGAGGCAACTCCTACTCTGATTGAGCTAATTACCGCTGGTGTCTTATTTTCTTTTCTTTAGTTTTCTAGCCCCTCGTGCTATAATCATGTATATTTTCTCCATTCCTGTTCATGTGTCTTCTCGCAATTATCACTGGCCCCGTGTATCTCCTAATCGCTATAACCGGCCTGCTCTCGTCTATCCCACATGCTCCACTGAGATCCAACATCTAGTTTCAGGTGGCCTGTGGAACTGCCAGTCAGCTGTTCCTAAGGCTGACTTCATCTCTGGCTACGCTTCCCTGCAGTCTCTGGATTTCCTTGCTCTCACTGAGACCTGGATTACTCCATCCAACACATCCACCCCAGCAGCTCTCTCCACTGCATATTCCTTCTCCCATACACCCAGACCCACTGGCAGCGGAGGTGGCACTGGTCTCCTGCTCTCTCCCAAATGGAGCTTTTCCCTCTTCAAGCTACCTAACTTCACTCCTTCCACCTTTGAATTTCATGCCGTCACAGTAACCCATCCTATACAATTAACCATTGTTGTTCTCTACCGTCCACCAGGCGCCTTGGGGGACTTCTTGGAGGAATTAGATCATCTCCTCTCACACATCCCTGAAACTGGTCCTCCCGCTGTACTTCTCGGAGACTTCAACCTCCAGACAGGGAAGATAGACGAACTAACATCTCTGTTAACCGCCTTTGCTTTCTCACTGTCTCCATCCCCACCAACTCATAAAGCTGGCAATGTCCTTGATCTCATATTCTCAAGGAACTGCACTACTTCTAACCTCTCTGTAAACCCGCTCCACACATCCGATCACTTCTTCATTTCATTCTCTCTACCCCTTTCCAAACATAACAAACTAATCTCTTCTCATCCTGCACCTGTCCGCCGTAACCTTCGTTCCCTCCTCCCCCCTCTACCTTGCCTCATCGGTGCTCTCAGCCCTCCCTTCCTCTGACTCGTTCCAACTCCTGCCTCCAAACTCTGCTGCAGAAACTCTCCTCTCTACTCTCTCTGGACTCTCTCTGTCCTCTCACATCTCGGCAGGCTCGTCAGTCCCCTCCTGCTCCCTGGCTAAATGACGCACTGCGTGCTAATAGAACCGTCCTTCGGGCAGCAGAGCGGAAACGGTGGAAATCCAAACACCATGACGACCTCCTAACCTATCAGGCTCTCCTCTCCTCTTTCTCTGCTTCGATCTCTCAGGCAAAAAGCACTTTCTTTCAAGATAAGATCCAATCTTCCTATTCTAATCCCAAAAAACTATTTTCCATCTTCTCCCTCCTGGACCCCCCCAAAGCACCTTCCCCCTCCTCCCTTCTGTCAAGCGACTTTGTTAACCACTTTGAAAAAAAGGTTGATGATATTCGCTCTTCTTTTTCTGACTCACCTTTACTCACCGCTGGGTCACCAGACCCTCCTTTCACCCACACACTGACCTCCTTTTCCCCTCTCTCTCCAAGTGAGGTTCTTACCCTCATTACCTCTGCCCGCCCTACCACCTGTCCTCTGGATCCTATCCCTTCAAACCTCCTTCAGACTATCGCTCCTGATATTCTACTGTTTCTCACCCATTTCATCAACACTTCTCTAACTTCTGGTCACTTTCCAAACAGTCTCAAGGAGGCAAGAGTAAACCCTCTCCTAAAGAAACCCACTCTCAACCCGTCTGATGTTATAAACTACAGGCCTGTCTCTCTACTCCCGTTCCTGTCTAAAACACTTGAACGCGCTGTCTTTAAACAACTCTCCTGTTATCTCCATCAGAACAACCTTCTGGATCCGCACCAGTCTGGTTTCAAGGCAGGTCACTCCACAGAAACTGCCCTCCTTGCTGTCACTGAGGAACTGCACACTGCTAAAGCAGCCTCCCTCTCCTCTGTCATCATCCTATTGGACCTGTCTGCTGCATTCGACACGGTGAACCATCAGATCCTCCTTCGCACTCTCCAAGAACTTGGAGTTTCAGGCTCTGCTCTTTCCCTCCTCACCTCATACCTCAAAGACCGCACCTACAGGGTTACTTGGAGAGGGTCCGAGTCCGACCCTTGTCAATTAACTACAGGGGTCCCTCAGGGCTCTGTTCTTGGTCCCCTCCTCTTCTCCCTGTACACAAACCCGCTCGGATCAGTCATTAGCCCGCATGGTTTTTCATACCACTGCTACGCTGACGACACCCAATTAATTCTGTCCCTTTCCCCGCTCAGAAGACCCAGGTCGTCGCACGCATCTCTGCTTTGTCTAGCTGAACATCTCTCAGTGGATGTCTGCTCATCACCTCAAGCTCAACCTTGACAAGACTGAACTGCTTTTTCTTCCAGGAAAAGATGGTCCCACTCTTGACCTGACAATCAACATTCGGCACCTCTGTTGTTTCCCCGACTCAGACTGAAGGAATCTGGGTGTGACCCTAGATAACAACCTGTCCTTCACTGCAAACATCGCTGCTACAACCCGTTGCTGCAAGATACACGCTTTCCAACATCAGGAAGATACGTCCCCAGCTGACACAGAAAGCCACGCAGGTTCTGGTCCAGGCTCTCGTCACCCTCACGCCTAGACCTACTGCAACTCCCTCCTGGCTGGTCTACCTGCATGTGCCATCCGACCTCTGCAGCTCATCCAGAATGCAGCGGCTCATCTGGTCTTCAACCTTCCTAAATTCTCCCACACCACTCCGCTCCTCCGCTCCCTTCACTGGCTTCGGTAACTGCTAGAATCCACTTCAAGACAATGGTACTTGCATTACCATGCTGCGAATGGAATCTGGCCCTTCCTACATCCAGGACATGGTTAAACTGTACACCCCAGCGCGTGCACTACGCTCTGCATCAGCCAAACGACTCGCTGCGCCCTCGCTGCGAGGGGGACCCAAGTTCCCATCAGCAAAAACATGTGGGTTTGCTATCCTGGCTCCTAAATGGTGGAATGAGCTCCCCATTGACATCAGGACGGCAGATAGCTTGCACATCTTCCAGACTGAAAACTCATCTCTTTCGACTCCACCTCGAGCGATAGAATTACTAACAAAGAACTGCTAAGAGAGCACTTATATACTAATAAAGGACTGGCTTATCTAAAGCCAGTTGAGTAGCACTTGAAATGTTTGGCTCTATGAAACCTGATGTACTTATATGATTCTGTTTTCTTCAAGGTTGTGTCTTCCTGGTCGAATGTACTTATTGTAAGTCGCTTTGGATAAAAGCGTCAGCTAAATGCAATGTAATGTAATGTAACATATTTGACACATCGTTATCTTTCCCTTCCCCTGTCTGAACTGTTTTGTAAGGGCACCGTAACTGCACACTGCACTGATCACCATGAGTAAGGGGACAGACTTCACTTTGCTGCTCCCAAACAAAGATGAAGTAGTTAGGATTACTTCGGAAAAGCATTACGTTTGTAAACTCACAATAAGAACCCACAACATTAAAACAGAGGATGTCCAAAAATCACACAGAATATAGCATATGTGTGTGTGTGTGTGTGTGGTGGGTGTGTGTGTGTGTGTGTGTGTGTGTGTGTGTGTGTGTGTGTGCTGTGTGTGTGTGTGTGTGTGGTGTGTGTGTGTGTAGTGTGTGTGTGTGTGTGTGTGTGTGTGTGAGTGCGTGAGTGCGTGAGTGCGTGTGTGTGTGAAAACAATGGCTTACATGAATTAGAGTATTTCACCATTGGGGCACAAAACTTGAGCCAGCTGATAACTGATAACTATATTCAGAGCTTTACAATATGGACTACAAATATGTTCTAGTAAGGGTCAAAGCCCGTCCAGCCTTTCCAGTCGTGCTACAGAGACCCTCAGGTGCAATGCATCTTCCCCAAAATGAAATAACTTCCAGGCAGAGTGTGACTGACCGTTGACGATTCTGGCCACCCTCCAGAGTCGCAGCAGGATGAGGAGACCCGTCCCATCAAAGGCGTCTTCATGGAAGATGAACACAATGTCCAATATGAAGGAAACCGTCACCACCAAACCATCAAACACCTCAAATTTGTGCTGGAAGAACTCCAGACGGAAAGCAAACAGCTTCCCGAACAGCTCCACCATGAAGAACGTGAGCAGAGCCAGGCTCAGGTAGTGGAACACCTGCAAACAAGTGGGTTAGAAACAGGTTTTATACAAAGGTCTTTATTAGAAACACTAATGTGGACCAATCTGTCTCTCACCTCTGGAGCAAGGTGGTCATGTTCCAACTTGATCACGGACAGATCTATCAGCAGCTCGGCCAGAACAAAGATGGCATCCAGGATGACCAAACACACCACCACCACCTGGAAGCAAAGTCAGACCATCAGTACAAGGTGCCTAACACATTGTACACATCAAGCTCTGTGTTTCCTACTGCATGTGTGAAACAAATACATAAAGGGAGACACAATCACAAGTGATGTCACATATTCAGCGCCGGTTAGGTATAAGACTAACGTTTGGAAAGTGACCACATAGAAAGAAGAGAGCCTCTGCTCATTTGTACAAATAAGACTTAATAAATGAACATAATTAATGAAGGCTGAATCACCAATTTTCTTTTTCCTGCTGTTTCTGGGAAGCTCTAACAAAGCAGCAGAGGATCGCAGTGTTCTTGACGGCTTCTAGCTGACCATGGAGTCAGCGATGTAGCTTGGTGTTTGCCCATTAAAAAGGACATTTATATGTCAGGAGGAGGAGCTTCAAATAAATCCTAAAGTAAACAGGAAGCCATGGCAGAGCGGATTAAACTGGACTGATGTGTTCGCTCTTCTTAATTCTTGTTAGCAGCTGATCTGCAGAGTTTTGGATGAGCTGAAGTCTGGCAGTAGTTTCTTTCGGGAGGTCAGTGAAAAGTGCATTACAGTAGTCTATCCGGCTCGAGACGAAGGCAGGTATTAGCTTCTCAGCGTCTTTCTGATTGATGAATGGTCTTACTTTAGCAATGTTTCTAAGGTGAAAGAAAAAATGTATTATCACGTTGCTAATGTGTGAGCTGTAGCTTAGATCTGAATCTAATACAACAGATTTTTGACCTCCGGTTTGATCCTGGGAGTAAATCTCCCCAGATTATTAACCAGCATTTCCCTTTTTGCTTGTGGGCCGACTAGCAGGATTTCAGTTGTCCTCATTCAGCTTTAGGAAGTTACAGCTACTACTACTACTACTACTACTACTACTACTACTACTGTGCAATGCAGTGTGATTCGGTTCACCGGATACAGTTGTGTATCATCCGCATAGCTGTGAAAGCATACATTGTGTTTTCTGATCAGGTCACTAAGTGGCAGCATGTATAATGAAAATAATAACGGACCTAGACAGCTCCCTTGTGGAACCCCATAACAGCTATTGTGTTACAATACAATACAGCTTTATTTATATAGCACTTTAAACCTCCAGACCAAAGTGCTGTACAGGCAAATAAACAAAACATACAAAAAGTAACACAGCTCAGCTCACACAGAGTACAAGTAAAAACAATAGACAATTTAAAAGCAATAAAAGCAACGCTCTAAAAGATGTTAATACGCTAAGGAGAAGAGGTGGGTTTTAAGAAGCTATTTAAAAGCAGGCAGTGTGGCGGCCTGTCTGATGTCGTGTTCTTTGGACACATGATTTCAAAGGCTGACAAAACATTCTCCCTTTTATTACATTTCTGAACCAGTTTAAGACCTATCAGAAAGATCAACCCACTATTGTCGGCAGTCACTGTTGCCTTGTGGGTAATGTAGGCGACAGGTTTGACGAGATGAACGTGTGGAATAAAAGTTATATCTTTGATTTTGCTGAGGCAAATGTGTTCTTTGAAAAGCAGTCTGTCATGAGTCTTACAATGTGAGAGGATGTTAAAACAAGTTAAACTGCCAAATATTGTCTGCTTCCAGCTTCTGATATACGTGTCAATGTTTGTCCGGTGCCTTGCTTAAGGGCACCACAGCAGGGCCAAGGAGGTGAACTGGGACCTCTCCAAGTAGCAGTCCACACTCCATACTTTAGGTCTGTTCTGGGACTTGAACCAGCAACCCTACGGCTCCCAGTCCAAGCCCCTACTGACTGAACCACTGCCGGACCCACATCAGTGACTTGATGTTGCCCTAGCAACAGATGCATTGAAAGTGTTCAGGCCTACCTGGAAGCGGTCGGAGCTGTAGAGCCTCTGCAGGGACTGTCTGAAGGAGAGTGTGGTGGGGAACAGCCCGGTGGCCGGGCTCAGCTCCTCGCTGGCCGCCTGCAGCTCCTCCTCCTCCCCAGCGACCTGCGGCTCATCCCCCACAGCCGTGAAGTAGCTCAGGTACCGAGCCATGGTGGAGGGAGTGGACCGGGCCCAGCTCAGAGGCACAATGGAGAGAGCTTTCAAATCAAATTAATCTGCAGCCGTTCCTCTTACAACTTTATGACTTTTGTCGATATTTCAGGAAAGCTCTCTGGTTGGCTGTGCAGCTCAAAAGAAAGCAAAATATAGAATAGTTGCAGAGGAATGCAGGTCAGTCAGAGACAGCCAAACACTGTCCGCCTGTGAGCAGATTTCTCCATAAGTTAGACAATCTGAGTTTACTTCTCCTTTAGATTTGCAACATGCTGTTGAGAAAGCAAACCATCTGGTGCGGTGTGAAGGGGAAGCTTCTTAACCCCCCCCCAAAAAAAAGTCTGGAGTTTAATGCAATCATAACCCATCTGCTTTAGACAATTAGTATAAACGGATTGATTCTGTCAATTTCACTGTCCACAGAAACAACTTTTGTTTTAGCCATCAGAAGACACTCCAACATGTTATGGCTGTATAACCTGTCCCTGTGTCGGAGCTGTGCCCCGCAGCTGAGGGACAGCAGGAGATCTCGTGATGAACACATCCGTTTATACGAGTTTTGCAGATTCAGCGTTTTTACCGACAGAAGCGTAAACAATGCGCGCGAGGGAAATATTTAGCGCGAGCTGAAGTCGTTACTTTGTAAACTAACTGAGGTCTTACCTCTTTGTCCACACTGTGTCCTGTAGCTGTAGCACACGGTTCCTCTCACTCAGAACTCTGTGGACTTCCAGCAGAAACTCCGCACCGCCCCCTCCTTCAGAAACACCGTCCTGCCAACTGCGTGTTAATGTGGAGCCGCACTGAACATTACTCACGAACACCTTTTATTTGATAAAACCCTGCATAGCATACACTACAAAGCACTCATTACAACAAGAATTACATTTTAAATGCCCCCCTTTGCTATTTCTTAAGAAGACCTCCCTATAAATACTTTTGGAAGGTTAAATGTGTGCCGAATTAAGGTCAGTTCCTCTCATGATTCTGAAACTGTATTTGAGGGGAATTAGAGTTCATGTTTGCATATAGCAACCATAATTAATGATTTTTGGCTGGAGTTTGCTGTGAGATAACATAGGCTACCTATTCAGTTTTTTTTTTTTAGCAATTTGAGTCAAAAGTAATCACATGCCTTCAGTATTTGTTTAAAGCCAGTTTTGTTTATTGTAGGGATTAGCTATTTGCCTGAATCAAATAGTTTTGAGTGTATTTGACCAATATTGAATTTGGCTACATTCTTTGTGCTGCTGTGTATCTAAAACATAACTACTGACCATCTTGCAAATGGATGGAAAAACAAATAGACCGTTTTGGTGATTTATATTGTGCCAGACGAGGGTTAGTTCACTCAAGTTTCATATAAAACACTGTGATTTATTAACAAGAGAAAACCATCTTATAAGGGTTCAAACATTAGATGTGTAAATCATAGCACAAACATGTTTCTCAGGCCCAATCCTAAACCACGCCCCACACGCTACCCCTACACTACCCCTCCGTTTGCGCATTCGGGCGGAGGGTCGGCCACATTAAAGGTGGGGTAGGTAAGTTTAAGAAACCGGCTCGAGATAGACTTTTTGTTATATTCCATGGAATGCTCTTAACATCCCGATAGCAATGAATATCTGAAGTGCTTTGACAAAAAATCCATTAAAAAATATCATCTCTGGAAGCCGTGGCGCTGTAAAAAGCACGACCAATCATCTGAGCCGGCCCGGCTAAAGTAACTGGATGGCCTACCTGCCTGTCAGCCTTCCATCTGTGCACAAACTTATCTCGTGTCCTCATTGGTCATGCGCGCGTTCGTGTGTGTTGGAGGAGGGGCTCTGTAAGGAAAAGTGGCGAGCCGTGACTTTTATACCTAGGCCCTCTGAGCGGGGCCCTCTGTGAATTCATAGCTGGACCGCCTGGACGTCCAACAGCTCCTCTCTTCACACTCGCAGAGACGAGCTTCTTTCATTTAACCCTTCACATTCCAACAGAAACTGAATAGGCAGATTCGAATGATTTATTTCTTTGGAAATGTTATTTTAAATACAATTAAATCAAGTTATTTTGGTAAAACTAATGAAAAATATTTTTTAAAATATTTTTTTTAAAAAGTTTTTAAATATCATTTTTGTAGAATATCTTAGGCCCTCACAGAGGGCCTAGACTAGAGGGCCCTGACGGCTCGTCACTGGTAAGGAAGTGGCAGATTTGTTCCGGCTGTGTATTTTCAAATTCTAGCGCACTCAAGCTGGTTTCTCCAAAATTACCTACCCCACCTTTAAGTTCTGTTCCAAACCAACGAGTGTCGAGCGGTGTGGAGGGGGAGTGGGCTATCAAGCCATCAAACAGCGAGGCCGTTTCTCAATCTCGAGGATTCTGGCTTCCAAGCCAATATTTCAAGGATGCTACGTCATCGAGTGCCGCCGAAGGACTGTTCCAATGTCCAGCATACTTGGAATTCCACCGAGGCCGCGTCCTTGGTTTGGAGGAAATTTCGAGGCTGCACATGGGTAGACTTCGCGTCCTTAAAATCCCCACAATGCTTTGCGCACGGATCAATTTCAAAAACCCTTGCGGAGAATGGCTGAACCGACGCAGCACACATTTAAATGTAAGTACACTGAACAAAAATATAAATGCAACACTTTTGTTTTTGCTCCCATTTTTCATGAGATGAACTGAAAGATCTAAAACATTTTCTATATACACAAAATAACCATTTCTCTCAAATATTGTTCACAAATCTGTGATAGTGAGCACTTCTCCTTTGCTGAGATAATCCATCCCACCTCACAGGTGTGGCATATCAAGATGCTGATTAGACAGCATGATTATTGCACAGGTGTGCCTTAGGCTGGCCACAATAAAAGGCCACTCTGAAACGTGCAGTTTTGCTTTATTGGGGGGGTCTGAAAACCAGTCAGTATCTGGTGTGACCACCATTTGCCTCACGCAGTGCAACACATCTCCTTCGCATAGAGTTGATCAGGTTGTTGATTGTGGCCTGTGGAATGTTGGTCCACTCCTCTTCAATGGCTGTGCCAAGTTGCTGGATATTGGCAGGAACTGGAACACGCTGTCGTATACGCCGATCCAGAGCATCCCAAACATGCTCAATGGGTGACATGTCCGGTGAGTATGCTGGCCATGCAAGAACTGGGATGTTTTCAGCCTCCAGGAATTGCGGACAGATCTTTGCAACATCGGGCCGTGCATTATCATGCTGCAACATGAGGTGATGGTCGAGGATGAATGGCACAACAATGGGCCTCAGGATCTCGTCACGGTATCTCTGTGCATTCACAATGCCATCAATAAAATGCACCTGTGTTCGTCGTCCATAACATACGCCTGCCCATACCATAACCCCACCACCACCATGGGCCACTCGATTCACAACATTGACATCAGAAAACCGCTCACCCACACGACGCCACACACGCTGTCTGCCATCTGCCCTGAACAGTGAAAACCGGGATTCATCCGTGAAGAGAACACCTCTCCAACGTGCCAGACGCCATCGAATGTGAGCATTTGCCCACATTTGCCGGAGTCAGGTCGAGACCCCGATGAGGACGACGAGCATGCAGATGAGCTTCCCTGAGACGGTCTCTGATAGTTTGTGCAGAAATTCTTTGGTTATGCAAACCGATTGTTGCAGCAGCTGTCCGAGTGGCTGGTCTCAGACGATCTTGGAGGTGAACATGCTGGATGTGGAGGTCCTGGGCTGGTGTGGTTACACGTGGTCTGCGGTTGTGAGGCCGGTTGGATGTACTGTCAAATTCTCTGAAACGCCTTTGGAGACGGCTTATGGTAGAGAAATGAACATTCAATTCACGGGCAACAGCTCTGGTGGACATTCCTGCTGTCAGCATGCCAATTGCACGCTCCCTCAAAACTTGCGACATCTGTGGCATTGTGCTGTGTGATAAAACCATAGACTGTATATATAAATGGACGTAGTGTCCGTGACGTCCCCCATAGGATTCTGCAGAGTTGCCGTGAAGCCCTTAGTAGGCAGAGTTGGCCACTAACGGCTCGACTGTGACGTCAGAGTCTAATCCCGCCTGCTCCAAATAAGGGCAAAGAGGCGGCAAAGAGGCGAAGTAAACAGAGCTAGCTCAGGCTAAGAAGCTAACATGAAATACATGCATACCAAGTTACTGCTAACAGTGTAGTTCCCCTATATAAACGTTACATTCATAATCAAATGAGACAATCTGCAAGAGAATTAGCTATATTTTGTTATTCTTAATGCTTGTCATTCACACGTTGAGAAAAGACGGACTCCACCGCCCGGACCTAACGGAGCTGCAGTGGGCTAGCTCCGGGACGCCATCTGGAGCTAGCCCCCTGCAGCTCCGTTAGCTCCGGCGGCCACCACTGGGATAATTGGGTCCCCTATTAACATTTGCTCCCGTTTAGCATTATGGGCGTCATAGCCATAGACTATAAAAGTCTTACCCAAGGCTGAATCATAAACTAAAATGTATATGTAGTATGCATAAAGGGTTACGTCCTTAGCTGGCTAATAAGTAACAAGCTAAGCTACCAAGCACACAAACACCTGCGAACGGGGTTAACATGTATAATATTATAATTTTAGACTTCTTGGAAGTTCTGTTAGTACATTCAAGCGCACAGCACGACATTTTAATTGTCTGGTATTTGTAACAATATTCCCTAAAAGGCACAATCACCACGAACACGGCTAAAGCGTCAAGTACAGTACTATGACTAACTAACGTTGTAGCCTCTATGGTTGTAGCCTAGCAGAGTGGACAAGTTGCTTTTAGCTGACAGTGAGGCATGTACGTGTCCATCAAAGTGACCACGCCCTAATTTATGCAAACACTTTAAGACCTAATATAAATAAAAGGGTCGTGTTAGAAAACAATTCACTCACAGATTCATAATCATGAAGGTGGAATCTAACTATATCGATAATAATATTTATTGCATCCATGGGCAGAAACATGTTTTTTTCTGCTGTAAAGTTGGGCATTTTAACATGGGGGTCTATGGAAATGGCTCCTTTCTGCAGCCAGTCCCTAGCGGCCCATATATGAACTGCAGTGTGTGGCACTTCCGTATTGGCTGTTACCCAGAGTTTGCCGCTTGGATAAAACTGAACATTTCAGAGTGGCCTTTTATTGTGGCCAGCCTAAGGCACACCTGTGCAATAATCATGCGGTCTAATCAGCATCTTGATATGCCACACCTGTGAGGTGGGATGGATTATCTCGGCAAAGGAGAAGTGCTCACTATCACAGATTTTTTAGATTTGTGAACAATATTTGAGAGAAATGGTTATTTTGTGTATATAGAATTTTTTTTAGATCTTTGAGTTCATCTCATGAAAAATGGGAGCAAAAACAAAAGTGTTGCATTTATATTTTTGTTCAGTGTATATAGTGGCGTAGAACATGTGTTGGTAAATATGTGACTTTGTTACATTTGTTTGTTATCACCAAAAATGTGTTCCGTGAAAGTAAAGCAAGTTCATAATTAGATAGACATCGTGAGGTATTTATTTTCGGTACAGTTTATGTTGAAACCGTTAGAGAGAGTGGCACACTTGTTAGCCTGTTCCATTCTTCTTCGTTTTCCGAAGCCGTGGCTTGGAAGCATACTGGCTTAGTTTCTGAAGGAAGTGACTTGGAAGTACCAAGCCAGCATCCTCGCGATTGAGAAACACCTGAAACACCCCGTTTCTTAATCGTGAGTACACATGCTGCAGAGCAATTATTTCAAGTATACTACGTCATAGAGTTAACATGCATTTAAACAGTCATTCGGCGCCACTCGATGAAGTAGTTAGCTGAGGTAATTTGAGCCTCTCAGGAGAGAGCTCTCTTCCACCTGGTTGTAGAAAAGCTCTTTAAATTCGTTAGCATAGCTAGCTAACCAGATGCTAATAACAGATCGCCACTGTGCTTACAACTAAAGACACAGCCACGCAAATACCGCGGCATGTGTACGGCTCCTTATGGGTACTGCAATATTTGAAGAGCTGGAGCGGCGTTCCGGTGCTCTCCGTCAGCATTCTAGTCAAGTGTTTTTCAAAATGGGGGCCCCGACCGCCGGGGGGGGCCACGCAAAGTTTGAGGGAAACGGGACATTTTTTTTTTAATGTTATTAATGACTGCATATTTATCAATCTATGTGTCCTTTGATGCCAATATTTTTAGAATCACACGACCGCCCTTCAAGCCAATCAGAATCGAGCTGAGTGTGAAACTGAGCTCAGCTTTTGGAGGCAAGTGATATTTCGCTCTGCAGCTGGATGAGAGCACGGATGTGGCAAATGTCATCAGAATTGCTTGCATACATCAGATTTATTTCAGAAGACAACTTTGTTGAAGAAATATAATTTTGCAAAGCACTGGAAGGTAGGATCACATGAAGAGAAATGTTCCAAGTTTTAGATAAGTACATCATCTCAAATGGACTTGACTGGTCTCGTTGTGTGGGGTGTGTGCTCAGATGGGGCAGCGGCTATGGGCAGGCAAAAAAGCGGAGTGACAGCTTTGATCAGACAGAAAGGCCCCAAATGTAGTGGTAACGCACTGCATGTTCCACCGGGGGCACTTGTACACATCATTAAAAAAAAAAGATATTGCAACAGGGAGGTCCCCGCCAGAGGATAGTGCTATATGGGGCCCCTGGCACGGCAAAGTTTGGGAACCCCTGCTCTAGTCTACACTCCTTTCAGATGACAACCACTCTTCGGTTCTCCACGAATTACACAAGTCACCCAAATCAGCGTTAAAAAAGCGACGAATTTGCATCACTGATTTAAGACACTCAACTTTTAGACTCACAAATCAGACCAGACAACAGAGTTGATGCTAGAGCATATATTTGAATATGTGTACATGATAAACATTTCAAAGTTGTTTATACAGGACAATCATCTCCTGTAGATAAGGTAGGCAATTCCTTTAGGACATTTAAACCCAATGTTTAAGTCCTGTTCAAAGCCTCAGTGCTGGACCATGGGGGGCGGCAGGTGGACTGATGCATCACACTGAAAACACAAAGCACAGTATCAGCAGACAGCCTGCAGAAATAGTTTAGTGTACAACATTACAGAAGTTTGTATCAGGTCTTAAGTCAGGCTCTAGTAAATGGTTTTCACTGAGTCTGTGCCAAAGTCCTGAGCTTTCTCTTCCAATGTTAAAATTCGAAAGCAGAGATGAAGGCTCTGCCATGAGAGTACACACTGGTTTACAGTACACACCAATACTGAGCTGCACTTACTATCCAGGCTTAGTCGAGGCAGGTCCTGCTGCTCCTCGGAGAAGACGAGTGTTGGTCAAAGCAGCTCAGTGCCGTCCTCTGCTAACAGGACTTAAACTAATGTTTAAGTCCTGTTAGCAGCCTCAGTGCTGGACCACTGGGGGGGCGGCAGGTGGACTGATGCATCACACTGAAACACAAAGCACAGTATCAGCAGACAGCCTGCAGAAATAGTTTAGTGTACAACATTACAGAAGTTTGTATCAGGTCTTAAGTCAGGCTCTAGTAAATTATTTTCACTGAGTCTGTGCCAAAGTCCTGAGCTTTCTCTTCCAATGTTAAAATTCGACAGCAGAGATGAAGGCTCTGCCATGAGAGTACACATTGGTTTACAGTACACACACTGATACTGAGCTGCACTTACTATCCAGGCTTAGTCCAGTCCTGCTGCTCCTCAGAAGACGAGTGTTGGTCAAAGCAGCTCAGTGCTGGACCATGGGGGGCGACAGGTGGACTGATGCATCACACTGAAACACAAAGCACAGTATCAGCAGACAGCCTGCAGAAATAGTTTAGTGTACAACATTACAGAAGTTTGTATCAGGTCTTAAGTCAGGCTCTAGTAAATGGTTTTCACTGAGTCTGTGCCAAAGTCCTGAGCTTTCTCTTCCAATGTTAAAATTCCACAGCAGAGATGAAGGCTCTGCCATGGCAGTACACACTGGTTTACAGTACACACACTGATACTGAGCTGCACTTACTATCCAGGCTTAGTCCAGTCCAGTCAGGTCCTGCTGCTCCTCGGGCTCCTGAGAGAAGAAGAGTGTCAGTCAAAGCAGCTCAGTGCTGTCCTCTGCTGACAGAGGGCTGCTATGCTCAGGGTTAATGGTTCACCATGGTTTTGTCTGCATGATGTGTTACATTGTTAGTCATCATTGCATGAGACTCAGTTCAATATTTGAACGGATTCAGTCACTCACCTTCAGTCAGCAGCATGATGTGAGCCCCTCACTGAGCAGCCTCTAGGGGCTCCACCTGCAACACAGGAAACAAGTCTTTAAATAATGTAAATGAGTTCAGATCAATTTATCCAATTAAAAATATAAAGCGTTCTGCAGCGTGACCTTTGAGCCACGTTACTGCAATTTAATAGTTCTTACAATCTGCATTTTTTACTTTTAAAATGGGACTTGAACAGCACCAGAGCCTCCCGTGGTGTGTCAGTATGAGGGTGTGCGGCCCCGCACTAGGCCGGCCCTGCGTGAGTGCAGGACAGGCCACTCTCGTGGGGCCCGGCTCTGCAGCCGCTCAGCAGCAACAGCCTCTAAACAGAGTCTGCGCACTGAGAGCAGCACAGAGCCTTTCTCTGCCAGCACTGTAACACCGAAGCAGACACACAGCCTGTCAGCTGACTTAGTGCTGGGGGGTGGAGGGGGAGGCACCATGGGGGTCCTGCTTCAGAAGGGATGATGCATCAGTGTTACCTGCAGTCCCAGAGGCAGCAGCTTCCATCCCAGAGCTGCCATTTGGACATGGTTGTAGGTCAGGATGTGGGCATGTCTGCAAGGGAACATCAGTATCACTTGGTGCCCAATGATGAAGGCCACATTAGTGGAGAGATGACAACACTCATTACTTTCTAAAAAAAAAGGAGTCTTTAGAGTTGGTATGATTTCTGGCAGCATATGCTGATGGAAAATGAGCAGAGCTGCAAGTCCCGACTACACATGGCTGTCTTATGCAGAAAGATCTGTCCGTTAAGCTAAGGCGTGTTCAGTTTTTAAACAAACCAAACATTGTTAACGTGTATATAAATAATATGACATGGTCTCTACATTAACACAATTAAAGGATTAGCCTGCTTTACCACATTTAAATATTCCAGATGACACTTAAGCATACTCAATGCATTCTATTTAAAATCGGTACATTTGCAGAGCATGGTGAAGTTCACCTGTTTTGAGCCCATGGAGCGAGCGCCGTCATGTGATTTCCATTGTCAATATGCCTATAATGAGAAACAGATTAAAACACATAGCCCACAAGATAAAAGGCAGTATAAAATATTTGGCTACTTCACTCTCCACTCACTGAAACTGCAGCATTGATCTACCCTAATGATATGAATTGGAAAGTGCTCTGCATTTAAACTGTTTACTGAAGACTAATTTAAGTACTGTGATTGCACCGACACCAGAGGGTGCCATAACTGGCAAACTTCAGTGTTGATCACTGTGCCCAAACAAGCCATGCATACTATATATATATATATATACACAGGACTTATTTCCTGAATAATTCTTAATTTAAAAAAAAGAAGGGGTTTCATGTTCTGAGAAATTATGCACTATGCATACAATTAATTACCTTCAAACTATTCTGAGAAAAACTCATTTATCAGCAGAACTGACCGACTTTTACGATGTGTGCTTAGAGCAATTCAAAATGGAAACTATAACGATGGTAGAAGCTACCATTAAAATAAAGCTCGTGTTTGACTGAAACACGTGTTCATGTTGGAACATCGTGTAGCCAACAGCAGTCCTTATTTAACTCACGTGCTTGTGTTTGCACTTTAGTGTGACTTTTTGAAGCAGTAACAAGCTATTAATGACAGACAAATAGATCACATGTAGGCTACGCGTCTTTTTGCAATTAAATGCCCAACTTTAACTGCGTCACACTACGCTAACTGCTCACTCTGTAGTGCTGATTGCTGATGTAACTACAGCCAACAGCGGGAGTTCTAACAGTTTCCAAACCAAACACGTGTTCTATAAGTACTCACGTCAGCTAGGACTCGTTCGCAGAGCAAAGTTCTTCACCAGACTGAGAGACTGGGCGGAAGTCTCGCTGAGACTTATATAGGGTATATGCCGCGGTGCATTTTGGGAGGGGAAGCTCGCCCAAAGATCGTATTTTAAGCAGAGCTACCACTAGGCTGTCCTCCTCTTAACAACAAAATATCTTACAGAACTCCAATTATTTCTCCAAATAATTGTACGCTACATTTGAAATAAAATGTAGCATTGAATATAATTCCTTATTGTAATTTTACAAGTTCTTTCATGACCGAAAGAACGAGATCGCGGATACAAGCGGCCGAGATGGGTTTTCTCCGCAGGGTGGCTGGTGTCTCCCTTAGGGATAAGGTGAGAAGTTCGGTCATCAGGGAGGGACTCGGAGTTGAGCCGCTCCTCCTTCGCGTCGAAAGGAGCCAGTTGAGGTGGTTCGGGGCACCTAGTTAGGATGCCACCTGGGCGCCTCCCTAGGGAGGTGTTCCAGGCACGTCCAGCTGGGAAGAGACCAAGGGGTAGACCTAGGACCAGGTGGAGGGATTATATCTCTTCGCTGGCCTGGGAGCGCCTTGGGATCCCCCAGTCAGAGCTGGTTGATGTCGCCAGGGAAAAGAAAGTTTGGGGCTCTCTGCTGGAACTGCTACCCCCGCGACCCGACCACGGATAAGCGGGAGAAGATGGATGGATGGATGGAATTTTACAAGTACAACATTGCATTGCTTTTTACATTTCATAATATATTTGGAAAAATAATTGGAGTTTGTAATTTATTTCCAACTCATTACTTCAGAAAACTATTATGTGATCGATAATGATTAATAGTAGTTGAATAACTTACCGTAATGACTTTTTCCTTCACTGAAAGATTATGTAGAGGATTCTGGCGATTTGTGAATTTCTGATAACTTCTGTATATTTATCTGAAAATGTTATATTGACGAGGGAATTTAACATTATAAATGAAATATGCTTTTCGAAATATCCGAAATATTATATTAAAACATTCGGCTAATGTTTCTTAGAATCAAAGCATTGTGTCACAGAATGGGAGACAAAGGTAACTATTTTCCTGCTTTATTTCAGATCTTGTTTGTTACATCACATCCAGAAAATTACAAAGATACCTGATGAACAGAAAAGGAAACAAAGGAGCAAAAGGTCACAGCCAATGAAGATGGCAAAGACTGTAACATGTTGGGATAAAAACGTTTTCAAGAGTTCTTTACCTAGAAATATTATGGTTGATGGTCGCAAAAATCTGTATTAATTGTCCCCTACCTACTTAAAATAACTTCAACACACTTGTTTGTAAAGACTAGTACAAGTAACATTTACTTCAGGATGCTTTAGCAGGGGCGGTTCTATGGGGGGGCAGGGGGGGGGGCAGTGCCCCCTTAACACTGGCCTCTGATCCCCCTATGGGCCCCCTAAAAATGAAAAGTGAAAAAAATGAAAAAATGATGATTTATTACCAGTGTTGGGCAAGTTACTTTTAAAAAGTAACTAGTAATAGTTATAGTTACTGCTCTCAAAAAAGTAACGAGTTACTTTATTAGTTACTAAATTATAAAAGTAACAAGTTACTTTACTTTACAAATAATAACAATAAAAATACAAGTGTTTGTGTTGTTCTGTGGCACAGTAAGAGAAAAGACAACTCCCCATCATTGTAGCATAATGGAAACATTAACATTATGGATAGATTACCGGCCCTCAAGCGAGTACTGCAAGACATAGCCCAAGAACGCAATGGTGAGAGATCTATTGAGGCACGTGGTCTGCTGGCACAGTTGGATCTAGAATTCATTGTGCATCTTGTAACACTCCGTAAAGTGTTTGCAGAAACAACATTTCTCTCTGACATGTTACAGTCTTCATCCCTTGACCTTTCAAAGGCTGTGGATTTAGTTGGATCTTTAGTTCAGACATTGAATGACTTCAGGCAGGAGTCATTTTTTGATAACTTGTGGGATGAAGTGTTGAACATTTCTGAGCAATGTGATACTGCAATACAGCCAGCAGCAAAACGACAAAAACGACTGAGCTCTAAACTTGCTGAAAGCTTCGTACTGACTAGCCTAATGTTGGACAGAGAGAGACAGAACAAGATAAACACGGGTTTCGTACAGCCTTTTTCTACCCTGTCATTGATCAGATGCTCAATGAGCTTAATAGACGGTTTTCAAACACAAACTGTGACATGATGAATAGAATCCAAGCTCTTAACCCCAAAAGTAATGCATTTCTGAAGGAGACAACTCTGTTCTCATTCATAACACTCCGTTCGATGTCTCACTATGGGATGCGCCTCATCGCGGAGCAAACAGAAGCATCAATCTCATTACGCCAATCCTGATTGGCTGGTGATCTTGACGTCAACGTCAGGGAATCGCCCCCTATAAGTAGCTTGCGCCACGACGCATGCGTCATTCAAACACCTCTTCTCGCTTCAGAGCACATCTCTACAGTAGCCGGACAAGCTTAACAGTCCAGAGACTGAACCCAAATCCAAAACATTTCGGTCGACGGGCGCTCGCCGGCTACTCTTCTGCTTCGCAAGAAGACGGTAATACTAACACCAGTTAGTATTAAAAATCGACCTCGCCGTTTCTTTCCCCGGAAAGTAAGGTAAGGTTTCGATTTTTTCTCAAGCTAGCTACGCACCTGTTGCTAGCTAGCTTCCCCTTACTACCGACACCACGGTAGCGAGGACGCTTTTCTTTTTCTCTCTCTCGGAGGAGAAAAGGATTAGAAGTATATTGACACACCAGTCAATATTCTTTGAGAACAAAGGACCCACACCGTCCCTTTTTCTCCGGATTAAGGACGGGTTGGTAACACTTTTCTCTCAACGACGTACCTGTTATGAGCGGGTCCTCTCCACGCCACGAGGCGAACAAGATGGACGCCTCTCCCCCTCACACCAGAGGAGTCAGGGACTCAGAGGCTCGGTCATGCGGCTGCGGGTTGAAGATAGCAGGCACAGACTCACACCAGGTCTGCTCGTCCTGCCTCGGGCTGGAACATGCCCAGGAGGCTATCGACAACCCCGGCTCGTGCGGGCATTGTGCCCGTTTCACCCGAAAGAGCCTCCACCGACGGCTAGCACACCAAGCTAGCTTGTTGGAACAGGACTCCCTCATGTCCACTGATTCGCCGTTTGGCAATCAAGACACGGGGGTGTCCGCCGCAAAGACTGAGCCCCTCACTGTATCGGTCTGGGGCTCACTAACAGCGGCAGCTGCGGAACCGGGATCCCACGGCGTGTCAGGCCGGGACCCGGTGGCGGCAAGAGATGCGGGAACGGAGCCCCACGCCTCACCAGGCGGGAGCTCCCGGTGAGACCTCACCATGGTCTCGCCCGCGGAGGATGTCCTGGAATTAGACTACATGGAGGACGAAGAGGACACCTCTGAGTCCCTCCTGTCTGATTCGGATGAGCAAGAAGAAGATATCTTCATGTCATCGGCTCAAACGGCAAAGCCGGGAGCGATGGCTGCTCTCCCGGGCGATAGCACACCAGCTTCACCCTGTCTGAGCATGGACCTGCAGGCCGCGTGTCAGCGCGCTGCGTCCAGGCTAGACATCCCGTGGCCCGAAAATGGCCAAGGAGACCGCCAGGTCCCGTTACGAGGGGAAACATTCTCCCCAAGCAACGAGGACAAGGAGGCAACTCCTCCCGGTCTTCCCGGAGATGTTGGATGAGGTGTCGGTCTCGTGGAGGGACCGACCCTTTAGCAACAAGGCCCCAATCCAGGGTGCCTCCTCCCTAGACTGCGACGGTATGGAGAGGCTCGGCCTGCTCCGCATACCGCCGATGGAACTGCTGGTGGCAGCCCACCTCCTACCGAGGATGGGCGTCACCAAGCAGGAACCCCACGCTGCCAGCGAAGGTGGACCGTTTCCAGTCGACCATGACTGAACGGTACAGAGCCGCAGCGTTGTCCGCCAGGGCTCTGAACGTTTCCTCACTGCTAACCGCATACCAAGCGGAGCTCTGTGAGGATATGTCGAGTAATCCTGGACCGGCCGTTCTGGACGAGTTGGCCGCGGTCACAGACATTTGTCTCCGTGTCCAACGCTGCGCCGTCCAGGCCACGGACAAAACAATGGGGATCATGGTGGTGCAGGAAAGAGCTAGATGGCTCAACCTCACCAACCTCCCAGACCGGGAAAAGGAGGATGTGCTTGACATGCCCATCGTTCCCGAGGGGATTTTCCGCTCCGCTCTTGCCTCCATGCAGAGGAGATGCGAGTCGAAAAAGAAGGAGGACGAGGCCCTCCACCTCTGCCTCCCTCGAAGGGCCCAGCCGCTGCCTTCGCAGCGGCAGCCCTTCGTCCAAGCTGCCCCGAACCCTGCTCGGTTAAAAATACCGAAAACGCAGAGGTCGCAGTCAGCCCGAGTCCCCAGCCCAGGCAGGGGACGAGGGCGAGCTGGCCTAGAAAATCTCCGGTTCCTGCTGCAGCCCAGGCGCAGCCAACCCAGAATTTCGGCCAGCAGTCGAGGAAGAAGAAGCGAGCGGCGTGACAGCCCCTCCTTCTCCCCTCTGTGACAGAGCTGGAAGTCTACGGTTCCCCAGCTCTAAATGTGTTCCCGCCGTCTCGAGAGATGCCTCAACACCATCCTCAAGTCCGCATAAACACATGTCACACACTTATTGATTTTTCTGTCATACATTTTTTTCCGCTGACGCATCCAGGCTTCGAGCCAAGGGCGCAGCTCGAAAAAATGAAAAGAAAAACAATAAAAACCAATAAACAGTCCGTCAACTGTTCCCCTTCTGAGAGCAGCTACGGCCTCTCTCATAGGGCGGACAATTGACGGGTCTGTGAAGGCACCACCGTCACGCGCATGCGCAGTGCCCGGCTGGGGCTGTAAAGGCACCACCGTCACGCGCATGCGCAGTGCCGGCTGGGGTCGTGAAGGCACCACCGTCACGCGCATGCGCAGTGCCGGCTGGAGCTGTAAAGGCACCACCGTCACGCGCATGCGCAGTGCCGGCTGGGGTTGTGAAGGCACCACCGCCACGCGCGATTGCGCAGTGC